AAACAAATTTCATCTTTAAATTTGGATCCCATTTCCCAAGATATCTCATTATTATGTGTGGATATGTAATACCGACATTCCAATATACTCCAAAAACTCCAAAATCCAAAACACTTCAGGTCCCAATCATTTCAGAGAATTGATACTTAACCTGTATAACTTCAGGGTGTTTTAAGAAGCTGTTATTAGCTTCTCTGATGGCCTTTCCAATGTGAGAAATAGTACAAAACAAAAGAAAATTCTTTGTTCAGTCATAGCAATATTTTATTTATATAACCTATATTAAACCTGTGTCTGAATAGACTTCATATCCTTTTGAAATCCAGTCAAGCTTTTGACCAGTAGACACAAACTATCTGCTTATATGAATAGTATTAAACACACAAACATACATAATGGATGAGTTACGGTACTCCATAATCATTGCATCAAATTGTGTCTTATTGTGTTAAGAATAAACATATACATTAAGACTAAAAACAAATCAAGCAGTAACCCATTCTGTTTCATGGAAAATGCATTTTTAAGCAACCTGAATGAAAAGAATGGACTTTACAATACTTTGAAAATCTAGTGTTCCTCTCACTATACAAGGACTATAGAGCTTATATAATTCTAAATAGCATTTGTTGAACTAAAGACACAATGGAGTTCAGAAACATCCAGCAATCTAGGAGAATGGCATTGACAGAACAGGACTATGTTATTTACAGTTGCATATGCGGCAGATTATGCAGTCATCAGAAATACCTAGCTGACTGTGAACGTACACGAAGCAACACTTGGAAATAATTGGTATTCTTCTGTGAGTGAACATATATAGTATTGTTATTTGTTGTAGTTTGTACCTTTTAGAATAAGATTTTTTTACTTCATTAATACCAACTTCACATCTTTAACCTGAAATCTTAAAATCAACGTCTAGGGTTCATATAAAGACCTACACATAATTGCAAGCCTGAGGGCAGGGAATTTTGTTGTTGTTTTTTTTTTTAATTGTAAAGCACCATGTGCAGTGATGGCGATATATAAATAAATGATTTTGATAAGAATAACAATAATTGCAACAAAATTTCAACTTGAACACTAGAGTAGCAGCCTGAAATCAAGAACATATAACCAGCCCCTCATATTCATGGGTTTGGCATTCACAGATTTGATCCTCCCCTGATGTCACCATGTGCCCATCCCAAGGTCTGGGACTGCTGTGTAAATGTGGAAGGGTTTGCAGACACAATTTTGACAGGTCATTTGCTTCTCCCCCCACCCCACCCCCACCTTATAGTTTCGGGAATTGAGAAGCAACAGCAATTTTTCTTGCCAACCCATTGCAGAAGACAGCCAGTGCATAGGCATTAAGAGCTTTCTGACAATAGCTATCACTGCTGCTTCACTCTCACTGCGACTTCAAGAGATGAGGTGACAGAAATGTCTTTTGCCAGCCACCTCTGGAAGCCTGCCAGCACATAGGTTTCAGGTGTTAGTTGGCCATTGCTGCTGCCTCAACTCTCCCTGTGGCTTTGGAAGGTGGGGCAATAGCAATTTATTTCATGAATCACCTCTGGATGCCTGCCAGGAGTTGGTTAGTGACGCTTTGCTCTCCTCAGCTTCACAGGGTAGGGCAACAATGATCTCTCTTGCCAACCACCTCTGGAAGCTGCTCGTGCATGGCCTTTGGGAAGTGATTGGTGATTGCTGCTATACTCTACCAAAGATTGACACATCTGATTGGTAGAGCAGCAGCGATGGCCCTCACCAACCATTGGCCATGGCCCACACAGCAGCCAGCTTTAGGGGCCCTCCTTACAAATGATTGATTTGTGATGACATTCACACAGCATCCCAGACTTCTGGAGTGGCTGTGATAACTCATCCCCATAGAGGTGCTGTGTGAATGTGTACACAATATTCATAACAGCAGGCTTCAGGAGTGGAGTGACAACTGCCTTCTCCCCAGGCATAGGACTGCTTAATCAGAGTGCACATAGTAGCCCAGGCTTCGGGAAGGGCACAGCACCACCATGTGAATGTGTGCACAGCCTTTTAAAGGAATGGCTGCAGAGCAAAGTCTTCAAAACAAACCCTCTTTGAGAAAGCTCCCCCCACCACCACCACCAATCTGCTAGCTCCACAAAGAAGCCTTGCCCTAACCCCAGAGATATTCCTATTTTTTCCACTTTCACTGGATTTGTGTCACTAACCACCATGAATATGGTAGGTTAATTTATTATGATTTGTAATGCCAATATGATAACAGGTGTTACACTTTACAGGCAGACTCTATTATTAAGGAAAACAGTGGATTACAACACCGGAAAGAGAAAATCTAATTGGTGCAACATGCAAGATAGATTAACCAAATGAAACATATTATGGATGAATTAATGACAGTTTTAAGTGAAAACTGTTTGGAACTGAAAGTTCTAGAAGAGTATTAGCTGCACTACAGAAAGAGCCAAGTGGCAATAACAATTAGCATACAAGAAATACAAAAGTTATGCTGTTCTTTAGAAGGTGATTTAATGCATTAGTAGTATGATGACTTTGAAACCGATCCATCTTATTTTTGTTTTCTTGATTAATCATATTAGAGAGGTAAAATAATGGTATGTCAGTGTTAGTTCAACTGGTTAGTGCTATGCTTTCGGTCACTTAGTGTATTCTTAGCTAAGAGAAGATTTCTACCTTGCACGCAAACTCTGTTATTGAAATCGGCTCAATGAGATAAGAAGCAAGTTCTAAGGACCAATTTAGAGGTGCTAACTGCTGCTAAAGTCTTTTGTCTGGTATGAAAGATACTCAGATCTCCAGGACATTGGCCAATACCAGTAAATACATCATCCTGATCTAAGCATATATCTAGAGTTTATCCCCAAAGTACATCTCACCAACAGGGACCAGTACAGATGCTGAATTTTTCAGTAATGTTTTCTCAGCTTTCAAAAACCATCTTTTTCAGCCTCCCAACAGGAATTCAGGGCTCTATATTTCATGACACTGTCCTCCACTACCAGCACAATACTCACTTGATCACCTGGCTAATAGCTATCAAGACTCGTGGGGGACAGGATATCTTTACTTCTGCCATCAATTATATTCTGTGAGGTCAGCTATGTGGCCATTCTAAATACAGCATTCTTTAAAAAATGTGGTTATCTTTCCCCTCAAGAACCAAACATTACATTTAGATGCAATAGAATACATAACATATTAAAGAAAAAAAATTACTATTAAACACATACCACATCTACTAGAAAGCCTTTATTTCCCAAGGATTACTCAGGAACTATCTTGTTCTGAGGTGGGAAATCATTGGTGTTCAGGAAACTCCACTCGCTTACACCATACTGGTGCTTTTTTAAAATTTCAGCTTGGGGTAAATACAACTGTAAATGACTTTCCTAAACAGCCAAATACTGTTAACCTGCATAAATTATACCAATTATGCACATATCCTTAGTTTGCATGCATTTTTGCTGGTGCATTGGATTTTGAACATATTGCCATGATCTAATTTGTTAGAATACCAAAACAAGAGCAGATAATACTTCATGACATGTCTCTGTCATTTCCTAAATGTATCAAAATACTTCTATTTTACAACACTAGTTTAAAGTAATGCCACGCGCAGAACATGGAAATGAAATATGTATGTGACATTTTGACAATGTAATGCCAAGTTTTCAAGGGATCCAAATGCTTGCACTGATTCTCTTTTCTTCTAATCTTGAATTACTCTGATCTCATTGCCCTTTTTTACCAAAACATAAGAAATTTATGCATTCACATATTTCCCTAATCAGCTTTATACCGCCAAATGTGATCAACTGGACCAGAAAGAATGAAAAACTAATCTGATATATATTCTCGAAGGCTTTCACGGCTGGAATCATTAGGGTGTTGTGTGGTTTCGGGTTGTATGGCTGTGTTCTAGCAGCATTTTCTCCTGACATTTTGCCTGTATCTGTGGCTAGCATTTTCAGAGGATCTTCAGAGATCCGCTGAAGATGCCAGCCACAGATGCAGGCAAAACATCAGGAGAAAATGCTTCTTAAACATGGTCATACAGCCTAGAAAACCTACAGCAACCCATAAAACCAATTAATAAGGTAACTCAACTTGATGGGTTCAAGATTATCCAGGAAGTCAATAGAACTAAGCAGACTTAAATCCCGATATAAAAAATAAAATGTAGATTTGATACACACAAGCAGGGACCACTGAACACAACTGGACTTAATTGTGAGTAGACTGACATAGACATACAATGTAAACCAGTGATTTATATCATATCGAAATCCATTATTGTGGCCTCAAAACCTGCCCTCAACTTATACATGAGGTCGACTTATCCATAGATGAAAGCACATCTATTAGCACCTTTTCCTTTCATGCCCATGTCTTCTAACAGGCGCATTCACTTGCAGTAAAAGAATAAAGAGAGTGTACTAAAGAACAGTCAGAAAACAGCAGGGTGGGAATCAGAAAGGGTAAGCTGAGTAGCATACTGGAATAATCCATTACAGAAGGACCAAGAACACCAAAGTTGGACTTTTAACATCTACCAGGGGACAAACACTGGTCAAAGTAGTATAACTGCAGAGTATAAAACCTGCAGAGTATGTCCCTACCCAGAAGGCCAAACCGTAAGTGAGGAGAAGCAGGGAGTAGCTGTACATTACGACACCATTTTGACTCATCTAACATAATTCATTTATAAGGCGTCATCCCTCAGAAAAATAATGCCATGACCAGACTTGTTTGGTAATTCAATTGTGAAAACTTCCTAAACACAAAATAAATAATAGATTCAGAGCTATCCACAGTATTTTTAGAAAATATAGTTCCCTCACACAGTGTACAATAAATTTTATCCTTAAAAGTCACACTCTTCCAAATTGATTGTCTTTTCTTAACGGTGTTTTGTTTTAAAAAAAATTTTTGCTATTTATCCGCTGACAAAACCTTTACTGAAATAGTGGTATTTCTTTTAATTTTAGCCTGGAAGAGTTGTTACACTTATTGAAGATCCTGAGGTATAGTAGTCATGTTTTTATATTGTATCAAATGTATACAGTGTCTTAGAAAGCTCAAAACAAATTTTGATTATAGTTATGGAGATGTAATCCTATACAGAACCTACCAAAGAATAAGTCCTAATGAAACATTGTACAAGTTCTGAATACATTATGCATAAGATGTTCTTATTAATAAAGCTGCTCATTTTAGATAAAAAAAAAACTAAGAGGAAACCTCAAATGTGGATATAAATCACTTTGTTTAAGGGCAACCTGACCAGTTCCTTCAAAAGAATTGCTTATGACATTTTTTGGGAGAGAAAAGATTTAGCTTGATGGGATTAATTTCTGTGTACGCCCTCAAATAATCCATAGGAAATAAAATACCTATATTCATTCTCATCCCGAAAGGGATTCAGGACAGATCACAGAACACATATACTGCAAACATTCAGTGCTGTTTTTACAGTGACAAGACAGACAACTGTACACAGACATAGGTGTATATATAGACTTTTCCCATCTTCGGAATCTTGGCGGTCAACCTCAAACTGTTAACCTTTCTATGGGCAAGATTTACTGCAGTTGGTGGTTACCTTGCTGTGCTAAAGCCCGACCCCATTTTCTTGTTAAGAACCCATTTCTTCTTAAAACGGGCTTTTATTTACAATCAACCTGGCCAAGATCCAGGGAAATATTTAGGTTTTGAAGGGTTTTTGTCCTTATTCTCTCCTCCTAAATTTTAATAGGGGCTATACTAAATAATTAAAATATAGATTTCTTCTGTATGTCCATTTGATTAACAGAGCTGATTCTATCTCCTTTCTAAAATGAAAAGCATACACTTTAATTCTAGTGTACTTATAGTGGTTAAATATCCTTTTTTCATCATAAACTTTTTCTCTATTCTAGTATAGCTAGTTTAACCTTTTAATCTAAAGATTCATTCCCAGATTTTCTATAAATTTATATGGTTTTCCCAGGGTACTCTTATTCGTTGCAAATACTTGTGGCAAAGTGCCTATTAGACTCTCTTAAAGTGTTTCTAATTGAGGGACTTTATAAAATAGTGAACAACAGCTCCATTTATGTGACCTTCTGAGAATTAGTATACTGCACACTTGGTTAGGATTTTAGTGCTTATTTCAAGTAAGATCGTAAGAAACAAAGATCCCTCTTCAGTTTTCCAGACAGTTGTGATCATGGAGGCATGAAAATACAGTTCGTCCTCCACATTTTTAAGCTTACCTTTGGCAGATTTGGATAATAAGTTGTCTCTGGGAATTTATACTCAACTTCTTGAGATTATCAGAAATTCCCAAAGATATTCTCCCCAGTTTTTTTTAAAAAATCATTTTTAATTCACAGTTTTTCCACCATCACAGGGGCCACATGCCCCTAACCTCTGTGAAAGTGAAGAGCCTACTATAAGTCTTTATTACACACTCACCTCTCCACCCCCACTATGGAAGATCATGCTGGCCTATCTTCCAAAATTATTTAAATGGTTACTGACAGTGCTATGTAAAATGCCATGAATCTTCAAATGGGCAGCTGGGTCAGGGAGAGGACCTTCTAAATCAGGTATGGACAAAGTTTGGCCCTCCGGATGTTTTGGACTTACTCCTAAAATTTTTAACTGCCTACCAGCTGTTAGGAATTGTGGGAGTTGCAGTCCAAAACACCTGGAGGGCTAAAGTTTGCCCATGCCTTCTCTAAATGCTTTCTTTGAAATTTCAAAATATATACCTATTCTTCCATAACCACTAGAGTCGTCACCATTTCATAATTTGAAAGGTAATGCACTGATCTAGCTATTCCTCTTAATTTTATTCGGTTTTATTGTGCAGAGTGATTACAGTTTTTACATCCTTAAGAGTAAATTGAACGAAACCTTGCTGAGAAGCTAAAACACTGACATTTTCCATTTCATCAGGGGAAACTGTTTGAAACACAAATAGCTTCCCTGCAATGCCAACTCTGAATTGAAATCAATTTAGTTGCAAACGTAACTTCAACCTTTTGTAGCTGACAAGGCCAGCAAATTCAGCTTAGTGTCAGTCATTGTGACTTTTCTGTACCTTTCTGGTAAGTTTTTTCACATTGCTGTACAGTTGTACCTCATTATGCTAACAGACAGATTCTTCTATAAGCAACAAATTGTTCAGCTTGTGGGTATTTTCCCCCTTTCTCACTGTAAAAACAGAAACTTAGATCACTGCAAACATCCTTTTAAAACTATAGTCAGCCATAATTATTCAATTAAATTGGATATGAAAATAAGAAACTAATAGCTATCCTACCTTTAGTTTCATTTTTTTTTAAAAAAATAAACAAATGAAGTCCTCTTTGTTTCAAGCATACTTACACAGAGTTACATACTTGTACATGAGTTTGAGCATAGTGACAAGTAGGAAAAGTTATTTTAATACTTAAAACATAGTAAATCACCTGGAAGTTTGCAAATGAAGAATCCTGTCTGTCAGTTTTCTGAGAAGACATTCCACAGACCTCACATTCAGAGTTAGCTATTTTTGTGACCCTCAACCATTCTGGAATTCCAAAAAAAGTTTTTTACCCCTTGATCTCTTTAGATTCCCCAAACCAAAAAGACAGAGGAAAGAGAATCCATCTGAACACGAGGAAGAACTTCATGACTGTGAGAGCCGTTTAGCAGTGGAACTCTCTGCCCTGGAGTGTGGTGGAGGCTCCTTCTTTGGAAGCTTTAAAACGAAGGCTGGATGGCCATCTGTCAGGAGTGCTTTGAATGCAGTATTCCTGCTTCTTGGCAGGGGGTTGGACTGGATGGCCCATGAGGTCTCTTCCAACTCTATGATTCTATATTACTTGTAATGGAAGCCCCTAGGAAAAGAACTCACTTTCTAAAAGGGCTGCAGGAACCCCCTGCAATGTTTGATTTTTAAAAAAATTCTTATTTTTCAGAACCTGCTATCTATTTATTTTGTGTGTCACCTTTCTCAAAAAAACAAAACCAAGACAGCCCATAAAAGAAATCAATAAATCTCAACAATGATTTTTAAAATAATTACCATCATAACATTAAAGGTGTTTTTAAAATTACACTTTTGAAAGCATATAAAGGCCCCTCTGGTGGCGCAGTGAGTTAAACCACTGAGCTGCTGAACTACTGACCGAAAGGTTGCCTGTTCGAATCTGGGAAGCAGAGTGAGCTCCCACTGTTATGCCCAGCTTCTGCCAACCTAGAAGGTAGAAAATATGCAAATGTGAGTAGGTCAATAGGTACCGCTTCTGCGGGAAGGTAACAGCACTCCATGCAGTCATGCTGGCCACATAACCTTGGAGGTGTCTACAGACAACACCAGCTCTTCAGCTTAGAAATGGAAATGAGCACCGCCCTCAGAGTCAGGCATGGCTAACTTAATGTCAGGGGAAACCTTTACCTTTTTAAAGTGCACACTCTGATGGGAAACCTCTCTGCAAATTTTTCTGAAATATTATATCACCATATATGAACATGCCTTCTTACAAAGGTTTTTGCCTATTGGTGAAAGAAATAAAAGGAGAGGGGCAGCCTAGCATCCTACAGAAGAAAGATCCAAAGTATGGGAGAAGCCACTAAAAAGTGCTTTCTCTCCCTGCCTCTCCCTCTCCCATCCTTACCAAGCAAGCCTGTGATGATGAGAAAATCCTCCCCTTTGGATCTGAAGATTCTGGCAAGTTCATATAAGGAAATATATATATATAAGGAGATACGGTCTTTCAGAAGATCTGGACCTAAGATTTTATAGGTGATGGCCAGCACTTTGAATTATACCTGAAAATGAATCAGTAGTTAATGAAGTTATTTTAACATTGGTGTTAAAATGCTTCCCTGTTATTGACACTAGTTATCATTCCTGCTTCAGCATTGTGGACCTGCTATAATTTCCCAACAATTTTTAAGGTAACCCCACATAATGTTACAGTAGTCTAAAAGGGATGTAAGAAAGGAACGTGTCACAGTAGCCAGATCTGGCATCTCAAGGAACAGGCACAGCTGGCACACTCATTTTAATTGTACCGACACACCCCTGGCCACTGCTGAAACCTGGATAACCGGATTTAATGTTAATGGTTCAATTTTTTTATTATCAGGCTTTATAGATTCCTTTCATGAACCGCCTGTCTTTCTCTCTGGGAGAACAGCAGCATGTAAATGATATGCATAAATACGTAATTAATTTAGAAACATTATTTTAAAAGGACTTCCAAACTTTTCTTTATTCCTCCTTTGGTATGGTTAGCAACCCATTCAACTTCCAAGGATCATAGAGCAGAGTTTCAGCTCTAACTAGCTGGGATTGCCTATCTCTGTATTAGAAAGGATATCACTGGGAACATGAGTTTCATTCTAAACACACTGACTTTTCTATCCATGCTTTCAATAAAGACAACTGAATTTGTACTACAAATGCAAAGAACAGAGAGAAAAGAGGTATTGTCGAAGGTTTTCATGGCTGGAATCACTAGGTTGTTGTAGGTATTTTGGGCTGTATGTTCTAGAAGTATTCTCTCCTGACGTTTCGCCTGCATCTATGACAGGCATCCTCAGAGGTAGTGAGGACGTCACTACCTCTCAGTCCGAAAAACCTACAGAAAAGAGGTAGCTTAAATCGAAAATGAACCTCTCCAGCTTTGTAAAGGTTAACCCTTCAATTTATTAAATGAAAGCATATTTCCCTTTCTGGTTGTGTTCTTCAACAGGGCTGTGTATGGGGAGTTGCATACAAACTACCAATCGGACAAGAAGGCGAAGTAAAAGCGTATCTTGATTTCCGAGAGAAAGGTGGCTACAGGACTACAAGTGTTCTTTTCTATCCCAAAGATCCCTTAGTGGAACCGTTCGATGTGCTGCTATATATTGGAACCTGGGAAAACCCTAACTACCTTGGACCAGCACCTCTAGAAGATATTGCTGAACAGATTTCTAATGCAGCTGGTCCAAGTGGAAGAAACACAGAATACCTCTTTGAACTCTGCAACTCCCTCAGGGATCTCGTACCAGAAGATGTAGATGAACATGTTTTTGCTTTAGAGAAACTAGTAAAGAAACTCTTGGAACAAGAACAGCAAAAACTTAATTCCGTATAAAACAAATATTTCAAACATTCATCGTCATCAGAATAATAGTTTCATAGACATACATGTTGAATTTGGAGATGTACCATCTGGACTTTACAATACATGTTTCCTCCAGGGCACTACTGTTGTTACTCAGTAGAAAGTGGTGTTTAAAACTATGTCTTCAGGAGTTTAAGGGAGGAAGACCTTTGGGGTTTTGTAATAAATTCAAACAATGTATTCTTTATTTCTCAAATGTGAGAAAAAATATAGGCCCAGTTTTTAAGTTTGAGAGGAAACTTTTTTGATTTCAAGCTATTTAGATTTTTCGTGTTTTAAAAATATAGATTTGACTAGATCCTACACTTGGACAGACTATGGATATAATCCTAGTCATATTTACTTGGTCCTCCCCCCGCCCCAGTCAAATTGAGGATTGCTTCTGTTGGTAAACATGCATAGGATTGAGCTTTATGTGTCAATTTGGGCCTGGATCACAATTACTCAACAACAAAACGGTGTCAGTGGGGTTTGTTGATTATAACACTGACATGGAAATCCTCTGTACAGTTATTTAGGGGTACGTCCCATGGAAGAATTTAAAGTAAACATTAACAGATTTGCACTGTTAAGTGGTAATTATTCCTATGCAAGGACTGGGTCCACTGTAAAACTACATTAGAAATGTTTTAGAATACGCTCACTACAAGGTATTTATTATCTACTTCAAGCACTGAACTCAGTGGTTTTATATATATTAACTATTTGTTCTTTGCTAAGTTGAGCAAATAATTCTTGAAGGAAATGACACTTTCTTTTTAAGATACATATCGTGTCAAGATCCTCAGGAACAATCAATAACTCATACCATATTGGTGCCTTATTTTATTTTTTATCACAAGACGTTTTAAAGAGCTGCAAAAAAGGAGTATGACTTGAATCTGCAATAGCAAGAATGTTCAGAAACTTCCTTTCTTATTCACTAGGCATTTTTCCAGAAATTTTTAAATGAGCTAAAACAGGTGGCCACTATGTACAGATCTTTTTTGGTCCTCTCCCAGTGACTTAAAATCTATAAATTACAGCTTGTAGCAGCCCAGTGTTCAAATATACCAATATCAACCTGTATTATGATCCCTACTGAAGGCCATTTTTTTGTAGAATTAGTTTGAGAATTAATCTAGTACAGCTGGCTCTTCGTATCCAAGAATTCAACCATCTGCAGCTTGAAAATAGTTGCTTAAAAATTCCTAAAAGCAAACTTTGATTGTGCCATTTGAGTCATGGGGCACAATTATACTATGCTATTGTATATACTTGGACATGAGCATCCATGGACTTTGGTATCCATGGGTATCCTGGAACCAAATTCCAGGAAATATCAATGGTCATTGTGTCAAAGTACATACATAATAGAGAAGATCACACACTATGCACCCTTAATGTATTGTGATCTCAGCCACACAGCAGGAATAGAAGGCGTATCCAGATAAGAATCCTGTTATTTGCTACTCTTGTGTAGCTCTTGTGCTGCTACAAAAAAGGATAGAGAAAGCTTGTCTTTCGCCATCTACAAAAAGTTGTGAATTCCTGAGTATCTTATTTATACCACATTCTTGCTTTTGGGGGCCCTTCCACACAGCTTTATAACCCAGAATATCAAGACAGATAATCCACAATATCTGCTTTGAACTGGGTTATCTGAGTCCACACTGCCATATAACCCAGTTCAAATCAGATAAAGTGGGATTTTATACAGCTTTGTGGAGGGGTGCCTACGTGCAACCTTGGAGTTATAGGCATTCTGGAAAGACTTCCTTGGAAAATCACAGGCGATTTCAGAACTTTGGTGAGGCTCTCTATTTCAGGGCCCTTCTACACTGTCATATACAATCCACATTATCTACTTTGAACTGGATTATATGGCAGTGTAGACTCAGAGCCCTTCCAGAAAGCCATATAACCCAGAATATCAAGGCAGATAATCCCACAATATCTGCTTTGAACTGGGTTATCTGAGTCCACACTGCCATATATTCCAGTTTAAAGCGGAAAGTGTGGGATTTTATTCAGCTGTATGGAAGGGGCCTCAGATAATCCAGTTCATAGCAGATAATGTGGATTATCTGCTTTGATAATCTGGATTATATGGCAGTATAGAAAGGGCCTCAGATAAATCTTTCTGTCACTGGTGCATGACAAAATATTTTTGAAGCCATGGGGAGCTGGAGACTTAACATGTCATGGGAAAGTGACTTCAGAGGCAAAATAACAATTATCAGTTGGTGAGAACAAGCTATTGAAATGCCCTGATGTACCTCTCTGGATACTGTGTTTAGGAGCAGGTGCACAATGCATAGCAAGTGACTGGAATTTAACCTCAGCAATCATTTAGGCATTTCTGAAAGTAATAAGCCTAATTATTATGAAAGATAAGCAGAAGGAGTTTCCATTTCAACTGTGAATTACTTTTTTCTCAGAGTTTTAAATTATTTTCTTGAAGTCTTCATTAAAAGCATATTTTTGTATTTTAATATATAGAAAGGTTGTGTTCAGAATGTCAAGTACTATCCCAATCTCATATAGCAAAAAAGTGGTTCTATATTTGTGTCCAATGTTCAGAATGAAGCCTGTATTGTTTTAAATCAGTAACATTTATGTTGTGTGTTTGTTTACCATTCTTCTCCATTTTCTTATCTATGGTTTGTATATACTTTATTATCCATTTCTGAAGGAGGGTACCTTTCTTCAAAGAAGATTTATGGAGAGGGCATTTAAATTAGAAAGTAATCAAGATAATAACCATTCCACAAATACAGCATACTGAAAGTCATAAATGGCTTTATCACATTATTTTACTGGCTATGAAGAGGTGACCTAAAATTCATAATACAATCAAATACACAAGTTATAGGTAAATCCCTATTAAGTATCCATTAAAGTCCATTAAAATCCATGAAATTTTAATCATTGATTTCTGTGTGAACAGGATCAATTCTTTATTATTATCCAGTGGAACTTCAGGTTTTTATTTCGAAAGCAGCAACTTCATGTGTGTCAAATATCTTGTGGAAAAAAATTGAGAGGATTTTTAATAGTGGTTAGTAAAATGGATGGGAGTCTGCTGCACACATACAAATCCACAGCATATTTTTAAAAGGAACAGTCTCAAGTATATGACATCAGATACAGAAGAATAAAAAATTAAAGATGGTAACTGAGCATTTCCATTTAAACTGAAAATTAGGAGTGTCTGAAAGATTAACCAGAATTCCTAGGTAGTGACTTTTTAGGTATTTACACTAGATTTGAAAATCCATATTTATATTTCTTTGTGGATTTCTGTTTCTAATAAAAAAGCACGGTTCTTACAAAGGAAACTATGTTAGCCCCCACTATCCTTCACACATGTGTATATTAAAGTATTACCAGTAAACGCATTTCAGAGGTGTAAACCGTCTATAATATTCAATAAGTTTCTTTTTGCAAAGGTTAGTAGAACTAGTCAACTGAGAACTCCTCATATACCTCTGTAGTATAGCACAAGAGCTAAAGTTGACTTCTTTATGGTTCTGTATTTTGTAAGGTAATTGTATTGTAGGTATGTGCTAAGGACTATATTTTTCACCAGATTCGTGTACTACAATAAGAAATATTGTGATATATTCCATTTTGTTCATGTAACTTCAGTACAATAAAAAGGCACCATATTTATTCAAATGCTACTGGAAAAGAAAGAAATGTTTTCACTTAAGACAAATTTCACACTATTATAAAAAAGTATCTGAAAAACTACACCAGGTTATCTTCATGCTTTCAGTGCTTGTGGGATGAAGAGAAATCATGTGGAACACAATTCTCAGTACCTATTTCTGTTTGCTTACTGATGCATACACAACTACCCACTACCAAGAGAAAAACAGACCAATAACTAATTGACCTGACTTGGAAGTGGTTCACAAATATATATATCAATACCACTAATGATCTAAAACACTTGAGTGAATACTCTATTCCAATACTAGACCAAAAAAAAGTTTGCCAACAGATTCAATTTCAGTTCAATATTGACCATTTAATAATATTACATCTTCAGCCAGATTTCCACAAAAGTGATAAACCAAACATACTAGCATTCATAATGTGATACTCAAATATTAAACCAAATGAAAACTCATGCTAAGTTAGCCAAACTGGACAATGACTTCAAAGACATGCCTATATGGGTCTGTAATACCAGTATGCAAGAGAATATCCTAGCACCTTTGAGATTGAGAAATAGGAATTACAGCATAAGCTTTTGTAAACTTTGGGTGCATCTATGATATAGAATTAATGCAGTTTGACACCACTTGAACCATGGGTCAATGATGTAGAATCACAGGAATTATAATTTTATGAGGTCTTTCACCTTCTCGGCCAAAATGTGCTGTGCTTCACCACACTACAAATTCCAGAATGCCATAGCATTTAGCCATAGCAGTTAAAGTGCCATCAAACTGCATTAATTCTACAGTATAGATGCACCCTTAGTCTGCTTTACATCAGAATAAACACTGCCAGGTTCAGGTGCATTATATTTTTTTTGTATCCTGAATCTCAAAAACTCTGATATAGTATTACTTTATTATGTCCATATAGAGCTTAGATAGAAGCACCTCTATTCAATCCATACCTTTATAAAACTAATGAAGCTGTTAAGATCAGTAGCTGTTTTTATTTATGTTTTATCTCAGAAGAATGAAAGGTTGAACAGCTATAGTGCACTACATTTCTTTCCACTGTATAACTATATGATAAGAAAAGGACCTCCTACCTGCTTTGACGCGCACAAATTGTGTGTTGGCTACCATATGCAAGCTTCAGAAAATCTGCAACAAAGCACAAAAATAATGGCATTACTTAAAAATTAAAATTTCTCTTAGAATATCATTTTTTTTAGCATAAGTGAAGAAATGATCCTCATATGAGCTAAACTGGAACGTGAACACAAAATGTGAACTGCTTCACATAATAATGTCATTGAATCTATCAGAATCCTAAAGGTCTGGAATTCTGTGCACCCAAGTAGCACCTCTTTCCAGGATCCTACCTACAAATCAGGGAAGGGACATTAGCAAGAGCTAACTCCCATCCTAGTTACAATGTCTTGCTGACAGGAAAGATGAAAAGAAGTTATTTTTCACCATTCTATCCAGGCTTGCACACACCACCTAATGTTCACTTGCAGCCATGACACCTAGCTTTAGAGAAAAAAGGTAATGGCTTGGTAAACATGAGAAATTTCTCTTTCACAGTAGAGAAAAGCAACTGTTCCCAAAGAAATGAGCTAGATCTTTCCTAAAAGTAGTCTAGTGGCAGCTGACCATGACAGAGATGAGTACTAGGATGACCACCACAGGCAGCAACTGTATTTTTTCCTCTGCTATGTAGGGCACAGAAATGTGTTTTTTCAAAACACATTGCAACGATTATTCTTAATCCATTTAAATAAGGCAGAGGGATCTGTCAATTAACCATTTGTAATCTGCTCTGAAAGTCATTTGGGTGAATTGCAGAGTACAAATTCATTTGTATCTGCTGGGGCTTGATTCCAAGACTGTGGAGGCTCGAGTCCCATTCCACAGAATGATGAAGTAGAATGATGTTCCTTATATAAAATGGCAAAATCAATGGTTGAATCCACCGATGCAGAGTCTGAGGATATGGCAAAACTGACTGTACTCTAAATCAAGGTGTCTTAAACTTTTTCCAGTCACAACCCTTTTCCACAAAAGAAATGTTTAAATGACCCCAGGTATGTTGGAATATAAAATAGGCATAAAAACCAAACATTAACAACTCTGTGTAACAAAATTTGATAATATTTCTGTTTCTGGTTTGAAAGTGTTATTTCCAGTTTAATTGTGTGGTACTTACTTTGAAATCAGTTGTTAGGGCCCTTCCACACAGCCCTATATCCCAGAATATCAAGGTAAAAAATCCCACATTATCTGAGTATGGACTCAGATAACCCAGTTCAAAGCCGATATTGTGGGATTTTCTGCCTTGATATTCTGGGATATAGGGCTGTGTGGAAGGGCCCTGAGAAAATCCAGTTCAAAGCAGATATTGTGGGATTTTCTGCCTTGACATTTTGGGATATAGGGCTGTGTGGAAGGGCTCTCTATCAGATTTTCCTTGAAAAACCATAGCAAAATGCTGCAGGATATCCTGGAAAAACAAAGTTTTTGCACTGTCTTCTCAAAGGCTTTCATAGCTGGAATCACTGGGTTACTGTGAGTTTTCCGGGCTGTATGGCCATGTTCCAGAAGCATTCTCTCCGGACTGCAGGCATCCACAGAGGCCTGTTGGAAACGAGGCCTCATTCACACCTACCTCAACATTCACACCTGCCTCAAGCAAACAAGAGTTCTTTCCCCCACCCTGGACATTCCACAGATAAATAAATCTCTTGCCTAGTTTCAACAGATCACAACCTCTGAGGAAGCCTGCCATAAATGTGAGCTTAATGCCAGGAGAGAATGCTTCGGGAACATGGCCATACAGCCCGGAAAAATCACAGCAACCAAAAGTTTTTGCAGTTTAATAAACCTTTTCCATGTTTTTTATCATAGAACAAATTAGGAAATGACATTTATAACACAGGAACAAAAATGTGTTAGTGTAATATACCAGTATTAGCAAGGCTTGCTAAACAGGCTGATCTTCCTTTCTGTGGAGTACAGCTGAAGTATTTTCTTCAGAATCTGCTGTAAACACTGTACATTGTTGCTAACAGATTTTACCTTTTACTGTTGCCATTTTTGTCATGATTAAGGGCCCTTCCACACAACCCTATATCCCAGAATATCAATGCAGAAAATCCCACATGATCTGAGTGTTGACTCAGATAACCAGTTGAAATCAGATATTCTGGGATATAGGGTTGTATGGAAGGGTCTTAAGAATTCTATGCTTCTAAGGCCTGTTCTGCACAGCCATATAATCCAGAATATCAAGGCAGATAACCCACAAAATCTGGTTTGAATTGGATTATCTGCGTCCACACTGCCATATAATCCAGTTCAATGGAGATTTTATACAGCTATGAGGATGGGGCTTAAGTGGGGAGAAAGAAACATTTATTTGCCAATTGCTCCCAACCCACAAGCAGAGGGACAAATTGGCTACAGTTTTTTTTTCTCTCCCTGCTGGAACACTTATCATGAGAAATAAATTACTTAAGTTACACACCTGCAGCTGGGAAAATATAAAGAGGCTAAAACATTACATTACAAAACTGATTTATAGTTTTTAAAATGTTAGCATGTTTTATGCTTTCATTTTGGATTTTAGTACACATTGCATGTGTATCATTTGTGGAGTTTGTTTCCAAAAGGTATCAAATGAAACATTAGTTTCATAATGTTTACATAGTTATACATTGTTGGTTACGAGCAGAATCAAAGAATCATAGAATAATAGTCTATTATTAATTATTAATATATTGATAATATAATAATAGGCCATCTAGTCCAACCCCCTGCCATGCAAGAAAAGCACAATTAAAGCAACCCTGACAGATGGCCATCCAAGCTTTTAAAAAAAAGTTTCTAATGAAGGAGCTTCCATCACACTCTGAGGCAGAGAGTTCCACTGTTGAATAGCTCTTACAGTCAGGAAATTCCTCCTAATGTTCAGGTGGAATCCCCTTTCCTGTCATTTGGACCCATTGCTCTGAGTCCTAGTTTAAAGGGCAGCAGAAAACAAGCCTGTTCTCTCTTCCTTATGACATTCCTTCACATATTTATACATGGCTATCGTGTCTCCTCTCAACACTCTCTTCTGCAGGCTAAGCATACCCAGCTCCTTAAGATAGATGCTTCTCAAAGAGCCTGGTCTCCAGACCCTTGATCATTTTAGTTGTCATCCTCTGAGCCCCTTCCAGCTTGTCAATATCTCTTTTAAACTATGGTGACCAGAATTAGACACAGTTTCTTGGTGGGTCTGAAATCCAACAAACGCTACGTTCAGCAAAGGACAAGGGGGATCCTCTCACTTCTGCAGGAGTCTACCGTATACCATGCAGCTGTGGACAAGTCTACATAGGGACCACCAAATGCAGCATTGCCCAAACACGAATCAAGGAACATGAAAGGCACTGCAGACTACTTCAACCAGAGAAGTCAACCATAGCAGAGCACCTGATGAACCAACCTGGACACAGCATTTTATTTGAGAACACAGAAATGCTGGACCACTCTCACAACCACCATGTCAGACTACACAGAAAAGCCATTGAAATCCACAAGCATGTGGACAATTTCAACAGAAAGGAGGAAACCATGGAAATGAACAAAATCTGCCTACAACAGCAAAACAATGGAGGGAAAACAATCAGGGACATCTAATCACCTCTCAACAAAAGATTGCCCCAGGCACTGCCAGGCCATCAAATGCTAATCAAGGTGGTTAGTTGAAACATTCACACCTAGCTCCAGCAGACAAGAGTCCTTTGTCTCACCCTGGTCATTCCACAGATATATAAACCCTTTTTCCTAGTTCCAACAGACCTCACTACCTCTGAGGATGCTTGCCATAGATGCAGGCGAAACGTCAGGAGAGAATGCCTCTTGAACATAGCCATGATTCCGGCCATGAAAGCCTTCGACAGACACAGTTTTGCAGGTGAGGTCTAACCAACGCAGAATAGAGAGGCACTATGACTTTCTTCAGTCTAAACACTATGCTCCTTTGAATGCAGCCCAAAATCCCATTGACTTTTTTAGCTGCTGCATCAAGGTGTTGGCTCATGTTCAGCTTGTTGTCCACAAAGACGCCAAGAAATTTCTCACATAGACTATTGTTGAGCCAGGTGTCACCCCTCCTGCATCTTTGCATTCCGTATTTTCTACCTAAGTGTAGAATCATAGAATCAAAGAGTTGGAAGAGACCTCATGGGCCATCCAGTCCAACCCCCTGCCAAGAAGCAGGAATATTGCATTTATTTATTTATTTATTTATTTAGCAATTTTGTATACCGGTCTTCTCCCCTCTATCGGGGGACTCGGGCCGGTTTCCAACAATAATATCACAAAACAATCATTAAAAACGTCATATAACATATTCAATTAAAACGTTAAAACAGCAAAATGCAATCACATAATAACAATGGTCAGTCGTCATAGTGAATTCGTTGCCTGTCATTCATCGTCATCCATCCGATTACAGAAACATTGATTCACTCGTCGAAAGCCAAACCCCATAGCCAGGTTTTCACCTGTTTTCTGGACAACAGAATGGAGGGGCAGTTCTAGGACTAGGACGCGGAACAATGGCTTCAAACTACAAGAGAGGAGATTCCATCTGAACATGAGGAAGAACTTCCTGACTGTGAGAGCCGTCCTAGTCCTGGAGACTAGGACGCGGAACAATGGCTTCAAACTACAAGAGAGGAGATTCCATCTGAACATGAGGAAGAACTTCCTGACTGTGAGAGCCGTTCAGCAGTGGAACTCTCTGCCCCGGAGTGTGGTGGAGGCTCCTTATTTGGAAGCTTTTAAACAGAGGCTGGATGGCCATCTGTCAGGGGTGATTTGAATGCAATATTCCTGCTTCTTGGCAGGGGGTTGGACTGGATGGCCCATGAGGTCTCTTCCAACTCTTTGATTCTATGATTCTATGATTCTGATCTCCAGTGGGAGAGAGTTCCAGAGTCAAGGGGCCACCACCGAAAAAGCCGTCCCTCGTCCCCACCAGACGCGCTTGAGAGGCCGGTAGGACCGAGAGCAGGGCCCCGGACAGATGGCCATCCAGCCTCTGTTTAAAAGCTTCCAAAGAAGGAGCCTCCACCACTCCGAGACAGAGAGTTCCACTGCTGAACAGCTCTCACAGTCAGGAAGTTCTTCCTCATGTTCAAAAGGAATCTCCTTTCTTGTAGTTTGAAGCCATTGTTCCTTGTCCTAGTCTCCAGGAAGCAGAAAACAAGCTTGCTCCCTCCTCCCTGTGGCTTCCTCTCACATATTTATACATGGCTATCATCCCTCTCAGCCTTCTCTTCTTCAGGCTAAACATGCCCAGCTCCTTAAGCCGCTCCTCATAGGGCTTGTTCTCCAGACCTTTTATCATTTTAGTCGCTCTCCTCTGGACACATTCCAGCTTGTCAATATCTCTCTAGAATTGTGGTGCCCAGAATTGGACATAGTTCATTTTGTTAGTTTTGGCCCAACTCCCTAATCTGTAAAGAGATCATTTTGAATTCTGATCCTGTCCTCTGGAGTGTTAGCTATCCCTCCTAATTTGGTATCACCTGCAAACTTGATGAGCAGATCCTGAAATGTAAACATAGATCACTATAATTATGATACTCCACACCTTCATATAAGTCCTGTTTTTATATATGGTTGTGAAAGAAGCGAAATATGCTGACAGAAAAGAAAACTGACTCATTTGTGATGCGCTGCTGAAAAAAAGAGGCACGTTAAATAAGTCCTAGAACAAATGAGGCCTGGACTCTCCTTAGAAGCCTGGACTAAAGTGAGGCTGTTCTACTTTGGGCATATTGTGGCAAGGCATATCACCCACCCTCTGGATTTCTTTCTCACCCGCAAGAACAGCATTGCCAATTTAAGCCAATCCGCGAAAAAAATGGCAAAAAAGAAGAAAATTCGCCTCAAAACAAACAAAATTCTGTAAAAAAGTTGGACTCCCAAAGGAATAACTGCGCATGCTCAAGCAGGGAAAGCGCATGCGTAGTAGCAGGCGCTCACACCCCATACAAACAGGACTTGAAATATCGTCACCCCGTTAACAAAAAGGAATGACTGCGCATGCTCACGCAGAGAAAGCGCATGCGTAGTAGAAGGCGCTCACACCCCATACAAACAGGACTTGAAATATTGTCACCCAGTTAACAAAAAGGAATGACTGCGCATGCTCAAGCAGAGAAAGCGCATGCGTAGTAGCAGCGCTCAAGCCCTCCAAACAGGGCTTGAAGTACTTCCATCGACCGTTAGCGAAATGGGACAAACTTACTCAAAAAACCGAAGCCTTCCCTTCACCTCGGTCTCCTTCACTGTCTCTCTCTCCTCAGGCAACGCGCTTTCTGAATGCCCCGGATGTTGATGCGAGGAAAGCGTGGAATTATAGATAAATGTATTTAGAGTGAACCCTAAACCGAACTTCCGAGTATATTTTGGGAAAAGAAATGGAAAGCTAAGAAACCTCACAGTAACTCAATAAAATTCCCTAGAAAAAGTAGATATATTCCAATAGAGTGAACCATAAACCGAACTTCCGAGTATATTTTTTAAAAAGAAAGGGAAAGCTCAGAAAACTCAGCAACTCAGAATAACATTCTCTAGAAAAAAAGTAGATATATTCAAATAGAGTGAACCATAACCCCAACTTCCGAGTATATTTTGGAAAAAGAAATGGAAAACTCACAGCAACTCAGAATAAAATTCTCTAGAAAAAGTAGATATATTCCAATAGTTTGTTGTTCATTCGTTCAGTCGTCTCCGACTCTTCGTGACCTCATGGACCAGCCCACGCCAGAGCTCCCTGTCGGCCGTTACCACCCCCAGCTCCCTCAAGGTCAGTCCAGTCACTTCAAGGGTGCCATCCATCCATCTTGCCCTTGGTCGGCCCCTCTTCCTTTTGCCTTCCACTTTCCCCAGCATAATTGTCTTCTCTAGGCTTTGCTGTCTCCTCATGATGTGGCCAAAGTACGTCAACTTTGTCTCTAGTATCCTTCCCTCCAGAGCAGTCGGGCTTTATTTCCTGGAGGATGGACTGGTTGGATCTTCTCGCAGTCCAAGGCACTCTCAGAACTTTCCTCCAACACCACAGCTCAAAAGCATCTATCTTCCTTTGCTCAGCCTTCCCTAAGGTCCAGCTCTCACATCCGTAGGTGACTACAGGGAATACCATGGCTTTGACTAGGCGGATCTTTGTTGCCAGTCTGATGTCCCTACTCTTTACTATTTTATCGAGATTGGACATTGCTCTCCTCCCAAGAAGTAAGCGTCTTCTGATTTCCTGGCCACAGTCTGCATCTGCAGTAATCTTTGCACCTAGAAATACAAAGTCTGTCACGGCCTCCACGGTTTCTCCCTCTATTTCCCAGTTGTCAATCCTTCTTGTTGCCATAATCTTGGTTTTTTTGACGTTTAGCTGCAACCCGGCTTTTGCGCTTTCTTCTTTCACCTTGATTAGAAGGCTCCTCAGCTCCTCCTCGCTTTCGGCCATCAGAGTGGTGTCATCTGCATATCTGAGGTTGTTAATGTTTCTTCCAGCAATTTTCACCCCAGCTTGGCATTCATCCAGCCCCGCACATCGCATGATGTGTTCTGCATACAAGTTAAAAAGGTTGGGTGAGAGGATGCAGCCTTGCCGTACGCCTTTCCCAATCTTGAACCAGTCTGTTGTTCCGTGGTCAGTTCTTACTGTTGCTACTTGGTCCTTGTACAGATTCCTCAGAAGAGAGACAAGGTGGCTCGGGATGCCCATCCCACTAAGAACTTGCCACAATTTATTATGATCCACACAGTCAAAGGCTTTAGAATAGTCAATGAAGCAGAAGTAGATGTTTTTCTGAAACTCCCTGCCTTTCTCCATTATCCAGCGGATATTGGCAATCTGGTCTCTCGTTCCTCTGCCTTTTCTAAACCCAATTTGAACATCTGGCAACTCTCGCTCCATGTATTGCTGGAGTCTTCCTTGCAGGATCTTGAGCATTACCTTACTGGCATGAGAAATAAGGGCCACTGTACGGAAGTTTGAGCAGACTTTCGCATTTCCCTTTTTTGGTATGGGGATATAAGTTGATTTTTTCCAGTCTGATGGCCATTCTTGTGTTTTCCATATTTGCTGAACCTCAAACAGAACTTCCGAGTATATTTTGTAAATAGAAAGGGAAAGCTCAGAAAACTCACAGCAACACAGATAAAATTCTCTAAAAAAGTAGATATATTCAAATAGAGTGAACCACAAACCGAACTTCCGAGTATATTTTGTAAAAAGAAAGGGAAAGCTCACAGCAACTCAGAATAAAATTCCCTAGAAAAAGTAGATATATCAAATAGAGTGAACGCTAAACCGTACTTCCGAGTATATTTGTAAAAAAGAAATGGAAAGCTCAGAAACTCACAGCAACTCAGAATAAAATTCTCTAGAAAAAGTAGATATATTCATATAGAGTGAACCATGAACCGAACTTCCGAGTATATTTTGGAAAAAGAATAGAAAGCTCGGAAAACTCACAGCAACTCAAAATCAATTTCTCTAGAAAAAAAGTAGATATATTCAAATAGAGTGAACCACAAACCGAACTTCCGAGTATATTTTGTAAAAAGAAAGGGAAAGCTCAGAAAACTCACAGCAACTCAGAATAAAGTTCTCTAGAAAAAGTAGATATATTCCTGTAGAGTGAATCATAAACCGAACTTCCGAGTATATATTTTTAAAAGTGGAAAGGCGTTATTAAAATGTTAGGATTACTCACCCAATAAAGAAAACAAAAAAATAGAATAAAAAAAATAAAATATGCTTAAAGTAATATAAACCCCGGAGCGACAATAAGTTCTGTCAGGCTATGTGACTCTAATTTATTATCTCTATGGGGCAGTTGTGACGTCAAAGCAAGAGAACGCAGATTTCCAAGTGGCGATAAACTACATTTCCCAGAATCCCTTAGTATGAGCCTGGCTGAGTGAGGTTTCTGGGAGTTGAAGTCCAAAAGGCCCTGAGAGGTCTGCGAGGGCGGGAAGTGACGTGGGGTTTCCCTCCGGAAGCAGACGTGGCCGGCTCCCTCGGTCTGAGGCGAGGAGGGATGAAGCGGCGAAGGCAGGAGGGGAGGCCTCGGGGCGCGGCCGGGGCGCTGGGGCGGCTCTTGCTGCTGTGGGGATTGCTGGAGGGGAAGAAGGCCGCGGCCGGGGGAGGAGGAGGCGGAGGCCGTTCGCTCCCTCAGTTCAGCGATGAGGTCCCCTTCCGCGTCAACTGGCCCGGAAGCCAAGTCAGCCTGGTGGGTCATTGGTTTATTCATCCTGTCAGAAGCGAAGGGAGAATACAGTTAGAATGTATAGAAAAAACCACTGTATGTGTACAGCTTTTGCACTTTCTTCTTTCACCTTGATTAGAAGGCTCCTCAGCTCCTCCTCGCTTTCGGCCATCAGAGTGGTGTCATCTGCATATCTGAGGTTGTTCATGTTTCCTCATAAATTAGTTAATTTAGCCTCCCCACACTTTTTAAGGTGGTACCTTGTCTCTCTCCTGAGGAATTTGTACAAGGACCAAGTAGCAACAGTCAGAACTGACCACAGAACAACAGACTGGTTCAAGATTGGGAAAGGCGTACGGCAAGGCTGCATCCTCTCACCCAACCTTTTTAACTTGTATGCAGAACACATCATGCGATGTGCGGGGCTTGATGAATGCAAAGCTGGGGTGAAAATTGCTGGAAGAAACATTATTAACAACCTCAGATATGCAGATGACACCACTCTGATGGCCGAAAGCGAGGAGGAGCTGAGGAGCCTTCTAATCAAGGTGAAAGAAGAAAGCGCAAAAGCCGGGTTGCAGCTAAACATAAAAAAAAACCAAGATTATGGCAACAAGAATGATTGACAACTGGGAAATAGAGGGAGAAAATGTGGAGGCCGTGACAGACTTTGTATTTCTAGGTGCAAAGATGACTGCAGATGCAGACTGTGGCCAGGAAATCAGGAGACGCTTCCTTCTTGGGAGGAGAGCAATGTCCAGTCTCGATAAAATAGTAAAGAGTAGAGACATCAGACTGGCAACAAAGATCCATGCCTAGTCAAAGCCATGGTATTCCCTGTAGTAACCTACGGATGTGAGAGCTGGACCTTAGGGAAGGCTGAGCGAAGGAAGACAGATGCTTTTGAGCTGTGGTGTTGGAGGAAAGTTCTGAGAGTGCCTTGGACTGCGAGAAGATCCAACCAGTCCATACTCCAGGAAATAAAGCCCGGCTGCTCACTGGAGGGAAGGATACTAGAGACAAAGTTGAAGTACTTTGGCCACATCATGAGGAGACAGCAAAGCCTAGAGAAGACAATTATGCTGGGGAAAGTAGAAGGAAAAAGGAAGAGGGGCCGACCAAGGGCAAGATGGATGGATGGCATCCTTGAAGGAGCTGACTAACCTGAAGGAGCTGGGGGTGGTGACGGCCGACAGGGAGCTCTGGCGTGGGCTGGTCCATGAGGTCACGAAGAGTCGAAGACGACTGAACGAATGTATGTTAAGGTACTCATTATGCTCTGTGCATAATGAGTACCTTAAAAACAAAAGAACCAATGAACGAAATCACACCAAATTTGGCAACAAAACGTCTCACAACACAAGGAGTGACCATCAATCAAAAAATTATGATTTTGTCATTTGGGAGTTGTAGTTGCTGGGATTTATAGTTCACCTACAATCAAAGAGCATTCTGAACTCCACCAACGATGGAATTGAACCAAACTTGGCACACAGAACTCCCATGACCAACAGAAAATACTGGAAGGGTTTGGTGGGCATTGACCTTGAGTTTGGAGTTGTAGTTCACCTACATCCAGAAGCACTGTGGACTCAAACAATGATGGATCTGGACCAAACTAATAATAATAATATACTCCTGACCTCATGATCATGTTAAAAAACAAAGTATGGATTGTCGATGTTGCAATCCCAGGTGACAGCAGGATTAACGAGAAATTACTGGAAAAGCTGGCACGACATGAGGATTTAAAGATCGAACTGCAAAGACTCTGGCACAAACGAGTAAAGGTGGTCCCAGTGGTGATCAGCACACTGGGTGCAGTGCCTAAAGACCTTGGCCTGCACTTAAACACAATCGGCACTGACAAGATTACCATCTGCCAGCTGTAAAAGGCCACCTGACTGGGATCTGCTCGCATTATCTGCCGATACATCATACAGTCCTAGACACTTGGGAAGTATCCAACGTGTGATCCAACAGCCAGCAGAGTGTCTGCTTTGGACTAATCTTGCTGTTTTTCAAATAATAATTTATATACCACCCTATCTCCCTTCAGAGCAGTAACCGGGGCCACTCAACTTGGCACGAATACTCAATATGCCCAAATGTGAAGATTGGTGGTGTTTGGGGAAAATAGACCTTGACTTTTGAGAGTTGTACCCCACCAATGATAGAACTGGGCCAAACTTCCCACACAGAACCCCCATAACCATCAGAAAACTCTGTTTTTTTTCTAGTGGTTCTCACAAAAAACTGTGTTTTCTGATGGTCTTTGGTGACCCCTCTGTCACCCCCTCATGACCCCCCCCCCAGCATTCCGACCCCTAGGTTGAGAAACACTGTAGTAAGTGGTCTGTGGTTGCTCTCTGCACTCACATGTCGTAGACTCCACATTGTGGCCCCTTTTCTTAAGGTTGGCTCTGCATCTCATGGTGCCAAAGCCCAGCCTGTGCAGCACCTTCCATGTTGCCGAGTCTTCTGAGTGCCCAGCAGTTTCTCATCTCCTGGTGGAAAGTCTGGTGGGTGAGGCGGGAGCATAGAGAGGCTCCTGGAGGCCGAGGTTGATAAATGAAAGGGAACTTTATTTATTTATTATTTATTTTAAATTTTTATTTCATGTCAAAAGCATTGCATAAATAGGTAAAGGTAAAGGTTTTCACCTGACGTTAAGTCCAGTCATCTCCGACTCTGGGGGTTGGTGCTCATTTCCATTTCTAAGCCAAAGAGCTGGCGTCGTCTGTAAACATCTCCAAGGTCATGTGGCCGACATGACTGCATGGAGTGCCATTACCTTCCTACCGGAGCGGTGCCTATTTACTCACATTTGCATGTTTCCAAACTACTAGGTTGGCAGAAGCTGGGGCTAACAGCAGGTGTTCACACCGCTCTGGATTCAAACCTGTGACCTTTCGGTTAGCAAGTTCAGCAGCTTAGCAGTTTAACCCACTGTGCCACCAGGGGATCATAAACAAGTATAAAACTGGTAAAATAGAGGGAACAGAAATGGCTAAATAATTTTAGACCTTAAACAGGCAACAGTGACACATTGTCTGTAGCTTTAAGCAGTTCTTCCTCTGTGCATGAGACAGCATGGTGGGAAAGCAAACAGATGCAGAGTTGTTCGTTCTGCTCCACAGTTGCACAAAGCAGAGGATTCTTCTAGGTAGTGCCATTTTGCCATGATGTGTAGAAGTACACTGGTACTTGCTTCCTGTCCACTGTCGTGACTCTTATTTCAGATTTCTGTTTATTCGTCCCCTTGAATCCCTTTTTTTGCTCAGGGCCCCTGTAGATTAAATGATGTGAATAACAGGCCCATTTACATGGCATTGAAATCTCCATTTTTCATATCAGGGTTTCAGATTAAGTCCTCCAGGTGCTGAATCCAGTATGTAGAGGGCTTCATTCCCATCCCTGCTATATATCTTGGAATTCTTCATGAAAAGAAGTATCCATCTCTTCATGTTCATACTACAGCAGAGAAGGAAACAGCTGACATGGGGAGAATGTTTTGGCATCCAAAGATACATTTGGAAATATGAAGGTTCTGGAATTTGGGACAGAGACAGTTCTGAGACTTCACGTCTTAAGAAATAATCATAGCTTACATGCCAATGCTATCCAGTGAATGAGAAGTTGTGCAAGGTTGTGCTTGTTCTGCTCTTGCTGTCTTGAACCTAATTGCTCCTGTCTCTCGAGATGCCTTGGTTTCTTAAGTTTGTGTAATGACAACAAAGGTGATCAGTGTTTGTGGATATCTCAAGCCTCATCTACACTGCCATGTATTGCAGTTTGAAGCTGCATTATATAATCAGTGTAGATCATAATATGCAGTTCAATGCAGTTAAACTGTATTATAATTGCAGGGTAGATGGGTACATGAAAGCGGGGAAGATCAGTGACTCACAAGAGCAGCTAAGCAAAAGAAAAGAGGACCTAGTGATATAGAGATAGAACTGATTTATCACAGAATCAGTAGGGTATTTTCTGCACATTTCCTCTACCAACACTATCTCTCAGTGGAACATTTGATAAGTCAGTTTACACAGGCTTCAAAAGTAAATTTGGTACTGTGAAAATATTATTTCCTACAATGAATGAGAAAGTGAGTTAGTTATTATTCTGCGTGTTTTTTGTCCTTTTGCAGCCTACTGCAGGGGTTTTGTACAAAGAAGATCATTACATCATCATGACAACATCGGAGAAAGAGAGATACAAGTGCATCCTTCCAGTATTAGCAAATGGAGATGAGGCAAGTGGTCTGTTTATTTTGTTTTGGATTGACAGGTCTCCAGCAAGTATTTCTATGATAAACACACGAATGAACCTTATAGTGAAATGTTTATAATATGCGAAATACGCTAAACCCTATTTTAGTAGCTGTGAGTGGTAACATGGCAAACATATAATTCTGAGGGAACATTGAAATGATGCTTCATTTTTGTCGCCTTTGGAACCATTTGGGTTGGCTAATCAGGTTGATAGTTTTCCATTGTGAGTTTTACTAGAAAGAAAGAAAGAAAGAAAGGCAGACAGACAGGCAGAAAGGTCACTCTACACCAGGGATGAGAAATAGTTGCTAGACAACAATTCAGTGACATTTTCCAGCATAATCAATAATAATGATAGGACTTATAGTTCGGTAGCATCTTAGGAACCAAACAGTACCCATTCCTGTTCCAGACACATCTAAACCAGAATAATCTGGGAGAAGAAAATGGTTTATTCTTTATGAAAGGGAAATTTTCATTGGATCATCTGACATCCCCTGTTGACTTGATATGTTGGTTTATTGGGCGTTGCACGGATGTTTATATCTTATCTGTTTTCTGAAAGATATTTGCCAACTTGGTTGGAGGAAATGATGTTATATGGTCGACTGCTGAGAGCAGATATCCGGTTAAGCAGGATTTAAATGTCATTGTACCTCCATTTTTGATACAGAAACTAGAATATTGCATTGACATACATTTTGCATACTTGAAAATCTGATTTATTTTATTTATTTATTTATTTGTTGTGTCAGGAGCAACCGCTCCTGTTGTGAGAGAACTGGCCGTTTGCAAGGACGTTGCCCAGGGGACACCTGGATGATTTTTGATGTTTTATCATCCTTGTGGGAGGCTTCTCTCATGTCCCCGCATGAGGAGCTGGAGCTAATAGAGGGAGCTCATCTGCCTCTCCCTGGATTCGAACCTGCGACCTGTTGGTCTTCAGTCCTGCTGGCACAGTTCTTTAACCCACTGCACCACCGGGGGCTCTGATTTATTATGTTCACAAATATAGACTGAGAGCAATTGACATACTGGAGTTTTTATATACAGAAGCTTTCTTAAGGTAGAACATTTGTATTGAAGAAAGTAAAAGCAGTGACAAAGTTATATGAAGTGGCAACATTTAAGTGGTTTCTCATGGACAGTAGAACTTTAAATGCCTATATTTATATTGAATTGTTTTTTTCTTGGGGGAGGAGAGTTGTGCTCAGATTGCAAAAAAAGTATTCTTAGTGTTACCTATGGTGTAAAATAAACCATGATTTCTCCAGAAGAAAAATGCTAATAAATTAAAATACATTTGTGGGTGTGGATACATAAACATGATTCTCACAAGAATTGCAGGAAAGTATATACACAAACAATGTGTTCATAATGGCTAGCTTGATTCATGCAAAGCATTTGTGTTAACTCAATACAATTTTTGAAAGTATAAAATTACTCGTGCTTGAAGAGGGAATACAGTATGGTTTACAGCAGGCATCCTCAGACTGTGGCCCTCCACCTGTTTGGGCCTCCAACTCCTAGAAGCTGTAATGAGCTTGTTTAATTGTCAAGATGTCTGGGAATTGAAGGCCCAAACAGCTGGAGGGTCACCGTTTGAGGATGCCTGGTTTACAGTATCAGCTGCTAGATTGTGCTGTTGTCTTTGGGTCCTTCTCTTCCCACTTTGGGTAATTACTGTAACTTCTAGGAATGACAGTGAGAAACCTCAACACATGGCATTAGAGGACAAGTACTTGTCCTACTAGTCACTGCATAAAAACCAATTAAGGATGCTATCTGTGTGGTTTCAAATGGCTATTTAAGAGAATGAAGGTATCTCTTTGCTTTTTTTTTTTTAAAGACACTTTACTACTTGAGTCATTACAATACATAGCACGCACACACACTCTCACTCAAAATACATAATGCCTAAAGCCTTTTGGCATTTGTTTGTTTCTTGCTTTGTTTTTAGTAAACAAGCAGAAAGCACCATATACATCTATTCTGATTGCTGGCAGGAATAATGCAAAGGTGGTGGGTAAATTAAACAATAACAATTTGATGCTCTTTTTATAACATCCAAGGTCTGCTGCCGCCTCATTCTGCCTCATGGTAGTTCTAACTCTGTTTGAAAAATATGTATGTATTCATTTATTTATTTATCATACTTATATCCCGCCTTTCTCAACCTCGGAGGGGATTCAAGGAAGCAATTTGATTCCACACACATATACATCAAATAAACATTTACAATTAAACCAATAATTAAAACATCAATTATTAAAACATCAATTAAAATCACGCCACCCAAAACATAATCCAGGGCCATTCCATTTGTCAGTCACATTGATTCGTACTCACATATTACACTGCTCCAATTCTTGTCAAAAACTTGGTCCTAAAGCCATGTCTTAAGATTTTTCCTGAAGGTCAGGAGGGAGGGGGCTGATCTGATCTCACTGGGGAAGGAGTTCAGTAGTCAAGTGGCCACCACCAAGAAGACCCTGTCTTTCATCCCCACCAATCATGCGTGCGAAGGAGGTGGGACTGAGATCAGGGCCTCCCCAGATGATCTTATTCTCTAAGATGGTTCATAGAGGGAGATACGTTCAGACACCTAAGCTGGTCCAAAACTGTTTAGAGTTTTATAGGTTAAAGAAAGCACTTTGAATTGTGATCAGCAGCAGACTGGCAGCCAGTGGAGCTGGCATAACAGGTAGGTTGTATTCTCCCTGTACACTGCTCCAGTGAGCAATCTGGCTGCCACCCGTTGGACCACTTGAAGCTTCCAAACAGTCTTCAAAGACACATTGCAGTAGTCTATTTGAGATGTTACCAGAACGTGGACCACTGTGGCCAAGTCTGACTTCCCAAGGTACAGGCGCAATTAGTGCACAAGTTTTAATTGTGTAAAAGCCACCCTAGGCATCACCAAAACCTGGGGTTCCAGGCTCAGCAATGTATCCAGGAGAACTCCCAAGCTGCGAACCTGTGTCTTTGGGGGAGTGTAACTCCATCCAGTACAGACTGTAACTCTATATCCTGTTCAGCCTTACAACTGATCAGGAGTACCTCGGTTTTGTCTGGATTTTATTTCAATTCATTCGCCCTCATCCAGACCATCACAGCTGCCAACCTCCTTAGCAGTAGGTGGAAAGGAGTAATAGAGTTGAATACTACAGGGTTCTATTTTCCTAAAAGGAAAAGGTGATGTATTTTTTTTTGTTTGTTGTTTTAGGAGGAAGATAAAGATTACAAAGGACCTACCCCTGCAGAATTGTTGGAACCTCTATTCAAACAAAGCAGCTGTTCTTATAGGGTACGTCTGGCTTGGCTTGGTTTGACACAAGACCACAATCCTGATATCTACATCAGTAACAGAAATAAGATGATATAAAATACAGTAGATAAGCAATGTATAACTGGACATTTATTTCATGTGAAACCTAGTATTGCTTATCTTTCAATCTTGGCTGCATATTTCCTAAAGGTTAGTGCATTTGATTGAATGTAACCTTGGAGAAAACAGTGGGCTTTAAAATGTAAAGGTTGTTTTTGATTTGCTTATAGTTCAGGTTGGGGCGTTTTGAATAAATACCTTGAAAAATATGTGCCACGTAGAATATCGGCTTTTTTGCTTTGTAGTTGAAAGGGCGCTGTTTCATGAGGCACCCACACATTTTGTCCAGAGTTTCTGGTTGATGTATTAATAAGCAATTGCCTACTTCTTCTCAGTTCAGGAGCCCAAGTCTGTGTCCTTCAGTGAATTTTAAAGATATTCAAAATCTTTACTTGTTAAGTAGCACGACTAATATTTCATGTTACCATAAAATCTTTCTTTCTTTGTTCGTTTACTTGTAATCACAAATGTTTAGCATGCCATCAAGCTTCAAGGAAGGGCTTAGAGTGTATTTAAATCTAAATATTTAACTGCTTAGAAGTCCATGTCCTTGAACTGTCCCTTCTTATTAGACTAGCTGTGTGAAATGAAAAGGATTTTCAGAAATTACGCAGCAACAACAATGTGTGTCGCTTCACTTTCTGTTGCTATTTTGAAGACGAAACAGGTAAGGAAGGTGTCTGAATGGATTGCAAAGCAGGGTTACATGTTTGCACACATTTGGAAGATTTTCAGACAATTGGCACCTGAAAGTGAAACCCCAAATAATTTTAGGAGTCTAGTGGAGGGCTGATGCACTTTTCTCCACTCATTTTCTATAATTTTAGGAGGGATTGCTTCCATCTCAGCATATTCCACAGTGTGTGCTAACGATCTTCAAGATAGTACATTAATCTGATTCATTTGTGGTTGACTGTAAAAGTGGCACTTTTTCATTTATATCATTATATTAAACTAAGGAGGTGGTAGCACCATGAGCTTATATATGGAGATTAAAACTCCCGATATGTGCAAAACCCTCCGTTTTCTAGCCTGTATTTACATAACAGTAGCTGATGTCAGGCTGCTGCTTTTCAGTTTAGAAAATATGCATTAACTAAGATTGTTACTAGAGTTATATCTTATTTTTTTATCTTATTAGATTGAATCATATTGGACTTACGAAGTCTGTCACGGAAAACACATTCGTCAGTATCATGAAGAGAAAGAAACGGGGCAGGTATGCAACATTAAAGCTTTGATCCTCATGTTGAAAAAAGTGAAAACCTTTTGTACAGAAGAGTGTTTGATTTCTTCTGGCTTGTTGTCAAATGACAAGGATGAAAGCAGTGCAAGAGAAATGGTAGGGGTGAAAGTAATACATAATTCTTTCTTCGTAGAAAATAAATATTCAAGAATACTATCTTGGAAATATGCTACGGAAGAGTCCTCTGCTTGATCCAGGTTTGTCACTGTCTTTTAAATGTTGATTATCAGAAAGAAGGGAAAGAGCAGCTTCATATCTGATATCTGAAGAAATGTATTAGCAGTAATGGATTGAATCAGTGGGGATAGAAAAATATTCCTGCTTTAAATATTTATTTCCAGTGGAAGAAAATGTAAAATGTCCCCAAACACCTTTTCCTTCAATTGATCATAGGGTTTCGCTACTTAATTGCTCCATTACCAACCTAAAGAAAGTTGACTAATTTATCCTTTACAGGAGCAAAACACTGTTTATAATAATAATAATAATAATAATAATAATAATAATAATAATAATAATGACAACAACAACAACTATTATTCTTTATATATACCCCATTTTTCTCCCTCACGGGACCCAAACCGGCTTACAACATTTTAAAATCATACCAACAACAGACCAAATATATAACAATAAATATTATTATTGGAATATTAGAAGTTTAGAATATTAGCAATTTTTCAAGTTATTGTCTTGCTTTAGAGGCTGAAGTAAAGGCCCGCCACAACCCTCTCAGCCAGTGTGACAGCTGGTTATGCTGGCAAAGAGATTCTGGGAGTTGTTACCCCCCATAAAAACATGCTGTTGGTTAGATGCATGATCTTAAGTGTGCATGAACTCAACTCAAACATCTGCCCAAGTATTTATTTGAAGCAAGCTCAAAGGCAAGGAAGGCACCCATAGATAGGAAGGGTGTGCTTTATTTTATCCACAATAGTGCATTTTTGAGTGTAGTAGACTCTATCCACTGAGATTTTATTGTAAGACACCCACCCCTGGCCCGGTGGATGCCAAAACCCATGGGTGCTCAAGTCTCTTTATATGCAGTGGTGTAATAATAATATTTCTTTTACATAAAATGGCAAAATCAAATTTGTTTTGGAAAAAAAATGGAAAGTTTAGAATATTACCAAGCCATGACTAGTTGAATCTCTGGATACAGGGAGCCAACTGTAATGGGAACAGGATGCAATAAAGTAAAATAGCAACATGAAATATGTAAAAGAATATAGCTGACAACATGACCAAAAAAATCTATTCGGTTTCAATCAGACAACAGTTTTGTTACTGTGAGTTTTTTGGGCTGTATGGCCATGTTCCAGAAGCATTCTCTCCTGACATTTCACCCACATCTGTGGAAGGCATCCTCAGAGGTTGTGAGGTCTACATAGATGTGGGCGAAACATCAGGAGAGAATGCTTTTGTAACATGACCATACAGCCCGGAAAACTCAGAGCAATCCAGTGATTCCAGCCATGAAAGCCTTCAACAACTTAGTTTTGTAATGCTCTTTTCTGTGTACTTGTAAAGTTATTAGTGCTTCAGTTGTGTCTTGGCCATTTTCCCTTCAACTGAACTCAGACTATTGAGACCAACTGGAAGGATGTGGCCCAAGAAAGAATGAGAAACAAATCCTTACATGTAAACACAATTTTAATCTCTCTCTTATTTCTTGTAAAATACCAAATTCATGTTATATGATTGTGTATTTTTGTTACTCAATGGATTGTGTTTGTCAAATCTGTCAAATCTCTCAGTGCATGATGATTTTATTCCGAGAGAGTGAGGTTTGATAAGCTTCCCCCCCCCCTAAAAAATAAACTGTCTCCTCTATAGAAACCAAGTTAGAGACGTACTCGTAATCATCATTTGATTTTTCTATTTTCCAGAGCAAGAAGAGAAAGAAAATGAGAACGACAGTGTCAAAGAAGTAAGTGGTAGAAAGGGTGTTTTTGGCTCCTTGGACTATCTTTTCTTATATGGCAGATACATGCATTCTGTAATGTATTGAAGATCATTTTTAAAAGAAATTGTTTTTGCTCATACATTTCACTCTGGTTGCACTAGATGTGAAAAGTAGCTGGGGCATTTAAATAAAAGCAGGGCTCACTTTGAAGCATCTATTAAAAGGTTTCCAAATTAAATCTACAGCTTTTCATTTCCCTTTTTTAACCAATCTAGATTCCAACAAAAAATATAGAAGGGCAGATGACTCCATATTACCCCATAGGGATGGGAAATGGGACACCTTGCAGCTTAAGGCAAAACCTGCCCAGATCAAGTTCAGTGATGTACATCTGCCACCCAGAAGCAAAGCATGAGATCCTTTCTGTGGCTGAAGTTACCACATGTGAATATGAAGTGGTTGTTTTGACCCCACTGCTATGCAGTCATCCTAAATACAGGTAAAGAGCTTCCAATCTTAGTTAAGCTACTTCAAGGAACTTTGAAGGCTATTTATTGTTCCTACAAAGAGATGACTATTGAAATTGACACCCCTGTCTCAGGGTCTTTCCTTTTCCCTTGTAATATGTAGAAATCATTATGGATTGGAATAATAGTCACTTGGTACCGTTCTTGGGGGTGGTGACGGCCGACAGGGAGCTCTGGCGTGTGCTGGTCCATGAGGTCACGAAGAGTTGGAGACGACTGAACGAATGAACAACAACAACCGTTCTTGCCTCCACTCCACCTTATTTGTATATGTATAGCAAAATATTGTGTGGTGACATTATGTGACAGAGAATTAATTGTAATAGAGGGTGTAAAATGGGATTTTCAATTGACATCATGGGAAAGAAACTGATTTTTTGCCTCAAAAGGTAGAATTTTTGAGAATTTTTTTTTAAAAAAATCAGTGTTGGTACTGACATTTCTGATTACCAAGTGCTCTGTGTACAGTATATCGTATTTTCAGCCTTTAACCAGATTCCATCTCCTCCCAGAAGTCACGGGATATAATAATAATAATAATAATAATAATAATAATAATAATAATATACTTTATTTATATTCGTCTCTATCTCCCTGAGCGGATTACAGAATACATATATGGCAAACATTCAGTGCCATTATACAATTAACAACAACGACAGACAGTACACAAACAGAGGCAAAGGCCCTTGTCATCTGCGGCATCTGGAGGCTGTGCTCAACACTGGCCATGGGGAGGTGCTGTTGTTCTATTTTCCATGCCAAGGAGCCTTTTGTCAATGGATGCCTTCCTGATCGAATTGCTGGCATGTCTTCAAGGATGCCAAATGGATTCGATGTGGATGATTGAGACAGTTTTAAACAGTGGATTTTAATGTTGAGATAAATGATTTTAATGTTTATGTATGTGTATAGTCTATTTATGTTCTGTCATTGAATGTTTGCCATTTATATGTTGTGCTCCACCCTGAGTCCCCTTCGGGGTGAAAAGGGTGGAATATAAATGCTTTAAATAAATAATAAATAATAAAATTTACCTCCCTGCCAAAGCGGTACCTATTGACCTACTCATATTATTGTTTTCGAACTGCTAAGTAGGCAGAAGCTAGGGCTGACAGTGGGAGCTCACCCCAACCCACAGCTTTGAACTGCCAACCTTTCAGTCAGCAAGATTTTTCTGCAGCTGGCGGTTTAACCCGCTGTGCTACTACAGACCAGCTTTCTCTTAATGAGGCATTACCAAACCAATGTATACCAGTGTCAGATCTTAGGGAAAATCCCATTTTGCCCTCCTATGACTATACTTGCTATATGGAGTCTGGGAGGTACACTCCTTTAAAAAAAAAAAAACAGCTCTAAAGCACTGTGTCCATGGTTTTGTTCTAACAGGTTTAGGGCTTCCCCTGTGAATGACATATTCTGCCAATCACTGCCAGGATCTCCACTTAAGCCCCATAAACTGGAGCAGCTGGAACAGCAGCAAGAAATGATGAAGATGCCTTTCAGGAGAGCGAAGGAGGTAAGGAACTGCCAGAGCACCACTTGATGGCATGAACTCTGGTTGCCAGTGTCATTTATCAGGGTTTTTAAACCTCTTCCACTCACAACCCCTTTCTGCCTGAGAAATAAAAATGTAAAAATCAAACATTTACTGATAATGAATCAGCATTTGCAAGGCTGATTTTCCCTTTTTGGTGAAGTGTACCTGAAGTATTTACTGCAGGGTCCACTGTTGCTAAATGATTCATGTCATGTCTAAAAGAGCCACTAGGTGGTGTTCAGAAACCTTTTCCTGTTCCCAAATTTTTCATGACTCCAACATTGAATTAAAGGGATCGTATTTGCTGTTGGGATCCACAGTTTAAGAAGCAGTGTCATATACAATATCTATATCTGCAGGACTAGTACTTGTGGTTTTATTTACCTCTGTCTGACAAAATTGTTCCTCTCTAGGCATTTTCTAGGTCCTCCAACTGCAACCAAAACAAGTTTTCACCCTGTGCACCTGCAGTAGCTTGCAATTTCACATTTTTAGTTGAAGGTAATTCCTGGAAGTGACAAGATATCTATCATCATAATTTGCTTACACTGTTAGACCAAATGCCATTTGGAAATGGGTTTTGTTTTCCCTGCCAAAAACAAATTGGAAGTTGGGAGGTTCATATTTAAATGTCGAAATGGAGTTCAACTCCCGCAGTTCCTAACAGCTGGTCCTAACAGAGGATAGGACTCAAATTACTAGATTAGATAGAAGAAAAAAGTTTTCACTTTAGGAAGAGTTTTCTGACTGTAAGAATTACTTCACAGTGGAATGTGACCATTATGCCAGGGATGCTTTTCTTGAGGATATGGCTAAATGACATTGGGATCACTTCCTGCTCTACAATTCTTTTTTTCTATATTAGTGCATTTTTTCTACCACTAAGCAATTATTTCCATTTTTTGTGTTTTTCTTTACACAATGTGCCCTCGGCAGTGTGTTCTAGCCTGCTTTTCTCCTGGGAGGAAAATTAGTGGTTCACCTCCCTCAACCCCAGTTCAACCATGAACATCTTACATCTTAAACTAGGACTTAAGTTTTCCTTCCTTCCAAAGGTATTAATTTCCTTCAGGTTGAGTATTCCTTAACTGAAATCCCAAAATATTCCAAAGTCTATCATGATCTACCTGGATGGCTGAGATTGTGACACCTTTTCTTTCAGATGGTTCAGTGTGCGAAATCTTTGTTTCATACACAAAATTATTTTAAAATGCTGTGTATAAAGTTACCTTCCAGCTATGTATTTAAGCTGTGTGTGAAACATAAATTTTGTGTTCAGATGTAGATCTCATCTACGAGATCTCTCATTATGTATTTATATATATATGCATACAGGTATTAAAAATTCTAAATCCAAACACTTATAGTCACAAAAAAGTGATACTCTACATGTAAGCGTGAGTGATAATGTGATGGCTAATTTCTACTCTCGTGAACAGTGACTGTGCTCCTGTGTGTTTACATTGGCACTTGTTTAAAAAATATCTATACCATACTATAGAGCACTGTTGTTTTCTCTTTATCCCTGTGTATATTGTAATCTCGAAACTCAGTACCACACTATGGGCACTAGTGCAACAAATCTGCTATTTTTTAAAGTGACATGAGACTTCTGTTTGGTACTATTATATTAATTACATACATGCGATGTGAACCAAATCCAGACAGGGCTATCTGCAGTCAAAACATTTATCACATCTAAACATGAGCATGTTTTAAATTTCAGGAAGAAATTAATGCAGCAAAAGAAGAGAAATTTTCTTCCTTCCACAAGCCAGTTGCCGTTGGAATCCCGCAGCTGTTAACAGTTGGAACAACACACATCTCCAAACTGACTGATGACCAGCTCATAAAAGAGTTCCTTAGTGGATCTTATTGCTTCCATGGGGTGAGAAATAGCTTTTATGCACTTTGTTCTCTGTCCTGTGTATATTTGTGTATGTTTTCTTGCAATACTCTGGGTTGGTTTTGTCAGAAATATTAAAAATTAACTAGGTATTTTTGATTACAAAAGTATTTATTTATTTATTTACAGCTTTTATATTCCGCCCTTCTCACCCTGCAGGGGACTCAGGGCGGATTACAGTGTACACATATATGGCAAACATTCAATGCCAATTTTTGACATACAAACATATACAGACATACACAGAGGCTATTTAACTTTTTCTGGCCACCAGGGGAGCTGTCACTTTCATCATCCATCTGCGACGCTGATGAAGCACTTCCGCATTCCCCGCATGCTTCCCTGCTGGAATGCTTTGCTGGAGTCTTTTTTATGGCCTCATAAATTAGTTAATTTAGCCTCCCCACATTTTAAGGTGGTACCTAATTTTCCTACTTGACAGATGCAACTGTCTTTCGGGTTGCAAAGGTCGACAACAGGCTACACAATTGGTTGGAAACCCACTCCCGGGCTGGCTTCGAACTCATGACCTTTTGGTCAGAGTGATCTTAATGTAGCTGACACTCAGCCAGCTGCGCCACAATCCCGGTGCATGTGAGAGTTAATAGGCCAAAGCCTGTTAGAGCCAATGGGCCAAAACTAGTATTGTCCTGAGGAGTGTGGTAAACCTCAGTGTGAGAGAAGCCTCATGTGAGAAAGCTCCAGTGTGAAGGCCCCTGTGTGTAAAGCTACTATGTATTTGTTTATTTGTATTATGTAAACCTAGTTCTTGTAAATAGTTTAACCATATTGCTTTACTACAAAGAAAAGCCTCCTATGGAAGAGATAACATACAATTATAATCATGTTAGGTTTCGATGAGGTTAGTAGAATGGGATCTGGAAAACTGCGAGTCCTATTTGACCCTTGGAAATACCTCCTAAATCTTCTGTTTAGTTTGAGGCCCTTTAGTAAACATTGCAATATGATTTGCTCTGTGAACCTCCTGTCCAGAGCCTGCAGGGCATTTTTGTTTGCTTTTAATGAAATCGTAAGGATACACTGGATGCAGTGCTGGACTGGAACTGTTTACTTGAATTTTATTTCCTTCCCTGCCGTGTAGGGTGTTGGTTGGTGGAGATATGAATTCTGCTACGGCAAGTATGTACATCAATACCACAAGGTGCGTACATAGTAGTAACGCAATGGGACTGCTCTGCCACTAGAGGGCTGCACAGCGCTTTTCTTTTTTATGGCTAGGGATGCTTTGCAAATTGGATAAACCTATCATTGGTGACAATGTTGTTGGTCCCTACTTAGAGATAGGCCAGGCATGGGCAAACTTTGGCCCTCCTGGTGTTTTGGACTTCAACTACCACAATTCCTAACAGCTGTTAGGAATTGTGGGAGTTGACGTCCAAAACACCGGGAGGACCAAAGTTTGTCCATGCCTGTCTTAAAGGGAATATGCTTTCATTCAATAATGTCCTCGACTTTTATTTGCATTTGTTTAAATCATTTATGTATTTTTAATGGGAGTTTAATTGATTTCTAATGTTGGTATGTTGAGAATTTTTAACTGTTTATTTAACTGTTCCAAGCCACCTTGGATCTCAAATTGAGAAAAGGGGCAGGATTGGATTATTGGATTGTTTTGTTATATTTTTCATCGCAATGCTTAATTCTTCGTTGTAAGCTCACTGATATTACTGTTGTTTTATTGTGTATTATTTTGATAAGTTTGTACTCGCCTGAGGCATTGAAAGCTTGCCTTTTTGTGTTTGTAAACCACCCTGAGTCCCTTCAGGGAGAGAGGGCAGTCTAGAAGTAGCGTTTTGTTATTACTATTATTGTTATTTATTTATTTATTTATTATTTACAGAATTTATATTCCGCCCTTCTTACCTGAGGGAACTCAGGGTGGATTACAATGTACATATAGATGGCAAAGATTCAATGCCATAGACACACAACATATATAGACAGACACTCAGAGGCTATTTAACATTCCAGCTTTTTTTTCATGAGGGTATTCTGACTACCAGGGGAGCTGTCTCCTCACCATCCATTTGTGACACTGATGAAGTACTTCCTCATTCTTTGCATGCTTGTTGGAGATTTTTATGGCCTCGTAAATTAGTTAAATTAGCCTCCCCGCATAAGCGGTACCTACATTTCCTACTTGACAGATGCAACTGTCTTTCAGGCTGCAAAGGTCGACAGCAAGCTACACAAATTGGTCGGAAGCTCACTCCAACCCGGGCTGGCTTCAAATTCATGACCTTTCGGTCAGTAGTGATCATAATGCAGTTGACTCCCAACCAGCTGCACCACAGTCTTGGTGCACAGGAAGAAAATATATTATTAACTTCTACATAGCATGCAACCAGCAAGTCTGCTTATAATAGCAATACCATAGTTATTGGATAACTAAATTTTCTGTTGTCTTATAATATAGTCAAGTTGGAGATACAGTGATAATAATTTGAGCAGTTTTCCTGCACCAACTCTATTGGAATGAATGGGAGCTGTGCAAATATGGTCTTGTACTGATCTCATGTCTTTCAGTTGTAGTTAGATATTCTTATTTATTTATGAAGAGCAAAATTAGTCTTCCTTTGTACAGAAAATGTACAGCTGTTTGGGCCATGGAAAAGCTACCGTAAGATGACTTTTCCTCTTTGATAATAGCCTTGTAAGTGCTCACCACATTACATGCTCATGTGTTGCTCCTTCTATGAAACTGATAGATTATAGCATTGTTTAGATATTTCTTTGAGTGATTGGACCACATGGAGGCCCTTTCACTACTAGAGCATGAATATCAGTCCCGGTTTTAACAGCTCTGGGGATTTCTATTCAAAGAAAGGCTAGAAATTACAAAAGTACATCCGCTACACATGTGAATGAATACCATCGGTAACAGATAAAACTACCATTTATCTTAAACTTACTTTTTAGGATAAAGAAAATGGCAAAACAACAATAGTTGTGGGCACGTGGAACAAGGAGGAGCACCTTGATTGGGCGCAGAAAAACGTGGCTAGAACGTATCATCTCAAAGATGATGGCCTGCAATCAGTGAAGTATGTTTAATTGATAAGATCCCCTTTTGCTCTAGCACTTGCCTTAAAATCAGTTTACAACAGAATTGTTTTTATCCCACCGGTGCTTCACAATGTTTGGCCTCTATCTGCAAGCTCATATTTAAAAAGTAGGATCTTAGATGTGAAAGGGATCACAAGGAGCATCTAGTTCAACCCTCCGTCTCTCTTTGCTTTTTAAAGTGCAGTTTTTCTCATCAACAGAAGGTAGGCAGGTGGGCAATCTCCATCTGTTTGGTTCATCTTTTGGAAGAAGAGAGAGGGATGAGGGTATGAAGGCACCTTTTGTTGTTTCTTCTTCTCCTTTGAAGGAAGAAAGGAAATGCCAGGAAGTGGTGGCAAAGAGGTGGAGGAGAAGCAAAAGACAAGGCTAGGATTGTCTGTCTCAGGCACACATTGGCCTTTTTATCTACTACAAGCTCATACCTCAGATTATTGGGGTCTTCAAAGATTGCATAACAAATGCAGGAGAGTGTTGGCTAAACTATGTTCGGTTTCCATTGAACAGGTGAGATAACACTTGCTGTTGAATCAACCAACTTTCTTTAAAGGTACAAGTTTCCCCTTGACATTAAATCTAGTTGTGTCTGACTCTGGAGGTTGGTGCTCATCTCCATTTCTAAGCTGAAGAGCCAACATCATCCGTACACACCTCCTAGGTCATGTGGCCAGCATGACTGCATGCAGCACTGTTACCTTCCCGCAGAAGCGGTACCTATTGATCTACTCACATTTGCATTTTTTCGAACTGCTAGGTTGGCAGAAGTTGGGCCTAATAGCAAGAGCTCACCCGGCTCCCCAGATTTGAACCACTGACTTTTCAGTCAGCAAGTTCAGCAGTCACCAGGGACTCTCAACTTCCTTTAGTACTCATGAAAATAAATTCAAAGAGGGTGATACCAAGTGGTAACTGACCACAGTCTGCCTGTTATAACTTAACATCTCCACTTCCCTGCCAGAAAGGGAAGAAAGCCTTCCCTTTCCTTTTCTCTGAATGAATACTTGAGACAGAAATGTTGAAAAATTCTTATCACCACACTACACTACTAGAGTTCTTGGAGAACGGGAGAAGTTCCAGCAGATTGGAGGAGGGCCAATGTGGTCCCAATCTTCAAGAAGGGAAAAAAGGATGACCCAAACAACTACCGTCCGGTCAGCCTCACGTCGATACCGGGCAAGATTCTGGAAAAGATTGTTAAGGAAGTGGTCTGCAAACACTTAGAAACAAATGCGGTCATCGCTAATAGTCAACATGGATTTATCAAAAACAAGTCATGCCAGACTAATCTGATCTCTTTTTTCGATAGAGTTACAAGCTGGGTAGATGCGGGGAATGCCGTGCATGTAGCGTACCTGGATTTCAGTAAGGCCTTCGACAAGGTCCCCCATGACCTTCTGGCAAGGAAACTAGTCCAATGTGGGCTAGGCAAAACTACGGTGAGGTGGATCTGTAATTGGTTAAGTGGACGAACACAGAGTGCTCACTAATGCTTCCTCTTCATCTTGGAAAGAAGTGACAAGTGGAGTGCCGCAGGGTTCCGTCCTGGGCCCGGTCCTGTTCAACATCTTTATTAATGACTTAGATGAAGGGCTAGAAGGCATGATCATCAAGTTTGCAGACGACACCAAATTGGGAGGGATAGCCAATACTCCAGAGGACAGGAGCAGAATTCAAAACGATCTTCACAGATTAGAGAGATGGGCCAAAACTAACAAAATGAAGTTCAACAGTGACAAATGCAAGATACTCCACTTTGGCAGAAAAAATGAAATGCAAAGATACAGAATGGGGGACGCCTGGCTCGAGATCAGTACGTGTGAAAAAGATCTTGGAGTCCTCGTGGACAACAAGTTAAACATGAGCCAACAATGTGATGTGGCGGCAAAAAAAGCCAATGGGATTTTGGCCTGCATCAATAGGCATAGTGTCTAGATCTAGGGAAGTAATGCTACCCCTCTATTCTGCTTTGGTTAGACCACATCCTGGAATATTGTGTCCAATTCTGGGCACCACAATTCAAGAGAGATATTGACAAGCTGGAATGTGTCCAGAGGAGGGCGACTAAAATGATCAAGGGTCTGGAGAACAAGCCCATATGAGGAGCGGCTTAAGGAGCTGGGCATGTTTAGCCTGAAGAAGAGAAGGCTGAGAGGAGATATGATAGCCATGTATAAATATGTGAGAGGAAGCCACAGGGAGGAGGGAGCAAGCTTGTTTTCTGCTTCCCTGGAGACTAGGACACGGAACAATGGCTTCAAACTACAAGAGAGGAGATTCCATCTGAACATGAGGAAGAACTTCCTGACTGTGAGAGCTGTTCAGCAGTGGAACTCTCTGCCCCGAGTGTGGTGGAGGCTCCTTCTTTGGAAGCTTTTTAAACAGAGGCTGGATGGCCATCTGTCAGGGGTGATTTGAATGCAATTTCCTGCTTCTTGGCAGGGGGTTGGACTGGATGGCCCATGAGGTCTCTTCCAACTCTTTGATTCTATGATTCTGACTGCAGGAGCCAAGCTATTTTTAAAACTAAACTATCTATTGAGGACCCCCTGGTATGCAGTGGGTTAAACCACTGAGCTACTGAACTTGCTGACCAAAAGGTTGGCGGTTCAAATATGGGGAACGGGGTAAACTCCCACTGTTAGGCCCAGCTTCTGCCAACCTAGCAGTTTGAGAACATGCAAATGTGAGTAGATCAATAGGTACTGATTCAGATGAAGGTAATGGCTCTCCTGTTGCTACTAAGAGGTTGCAACGTACTTTATCTAACTTGTTGTAAGGATCAATGTTGTTTGTGCAATAACTTTAAGTTGTTGTAAGGTTCAAGGCTGTTTGTGCTACAGCTGTTTCAGTTAATTGAAGAGTTAATTGAGAGTGTTATTTTCATGTGTATAAAGATAGCTACTGTGTGTTTGGTTTCTTTGCCATTGTGCGTTTATGCTATTGTGCATCTATGCCTCTGTGCCGTTCTTTGCTTTGTGTAAGCCGGGGACTATGCTGCAGATGTCCTGCGAAGACACAGCCATGTGAAGAGGACAAGGATTCCTGCTTATCATGGCTGAGTAATGATATCTCTCAGAAGATATTGTTTCATGTTACTTTTGTGGAAACAGCAATCCTGCTATTTTGTTTTGTATGCTGCCAATACTACAATATTTTTCTTTTCTACTTTAAGCCGAAGTCTCGTGTGTTTTTCTTTTATGAGCCAATTCATCACACACACAGTTAACTGCGCTAGAGTCAATCTGCATGCTACTCATGCTAACGCATGAAAACTCCATGCAGTCATGCTGGCCACATGACCTTGGAGGTGTCTACAGACGACGCCAGCTCTTCTACCTAGAAATGGAGATGAGCACCACCCCCCAGAGTCGGACACAACTAGACTTAATGTCAGGGGAAACCTTTACCTGTTTACATACCATACATAATACAGACCTGGATAAAGGAGTGCCAACTTTGATGAGAATTGCCTAATATTAATGGAAGCGATCTGGAAAGCCAAACAAAACCTTATGAGTGATCTTGAAAGTGCTGTACACACTCGTGTGCTCACACACAATCTGCACTCTTTCTTTTCTAAGGCTTTAATCGGTCCTACCGATATGTTTGCAGGTGGAATGCATTCACAGTCGTAAGGACTAGAAAACTGGACTATAGATTGCAAATAATACTGTTATTTACATGAGGAAAAGAGATTTATATGTGTGTGTGTGTGTTTTGTAGTAAAAAAAATTATACTTTGAATGAAATAGAAGAGGACTTTAGCATTCTTCTGATTTGATTTGTGGCCATTTGTGTGATTTGGCAGAGAGACTTAAGTTAGTAAAATGAGCCACAGGCAAGAGCTTTGGACAACATTGGGACTTTCCAGATTCCAACTACAGAACACAGTCTCATTTTTTACATAATCAAAAACATTATTTTTTGCAAAAAAAATTGTTTGAAATTCAGATCTGGTTTGTGTGCTTTCTACTTGACATAAGAAGGCTGGAGATGAGGAGCTGCACCTGTGTTGATTTAATCTGTGGGTTGCGACAGTGTCGGCTACAATGAAGCCCTTATTTCAAATTCCTTTCGCAGAATGGTGTCCCACTATTATGGAAACGGAGATGTTTGCGATTTAACCGACAAACCTCGACAGGTGACAGTGAAATTGAAGTGAGTTGTGTTCTGTAACATTATTCTGTTTTGGAGGAATGTGTCAACATCATTGCTACTCAAAGAAGCAGCCTGTGTCTTATGGGTCTTATAGGAAGAAAAATATAGTTGCTCCCAATGGGCACAAAGACAGTACCAGTCTGTGGCACACTGGGAAAAACAATGATCTAGAGCAGACATAGGCAAACTTGGGCCCTCCAGGTGTTTTGGACTTCAACTCCCACCATTCCCAACAGCCTTCCTTTCCCCCCTCAGCCGCTTAAGTGGCTGAGGGGGAAAAGGAAGAGGCCTGAGGCTGTTGGGAATGGTGGGAGTTGAAATCCAAAACACCTGGAGGGTCCAAGTTTATCTATTCCTGGTTGTGAGGCTTGTATGGCAATTTATACAATTGTCTCTGCTTTATCTCTTCTGAAGGAAGACATTTCAGTGGGGACATTTTAGTTTGTACTTTTGTGTTTACCTCTGCTGATTTTTGTGGTATGGCAGTCCAGGCTGACATCTTTCTGGATCAATGTTTATTGCTGTTTAAAATGCGCAATGTACAGAGGGACATGTTGCATAGCGTAGCATTATGTCAACGTTGCACCAAACCTTGGATCAGCATCATGACTGGATCTCAGGAAAAAGGGTGATCTTGGCACTGGATGTTTCTTGTTGAAAAAAAGCCATTCTTTTGAGACTTGCTAACAGCCCTTTCTGCTTCCAAGGTGCAAGGAATCGGATTCTCCTCATGCTGTAACGGTTTATATGCTGGAACCACACTCCTGTCAATATATCCTTGGGGTATGTATTCGTCAACTTGACGTAAGAAGGCTGACTTCTATTTAAAAAAACTTCCTCATGAAAAATGCATTTTGCTTACATAAAACATGCAAATTGAGACAAAGAACATCCCGTTTTTCATCAGTCTTGAGTGCAGCATGTTACGTATTTTCTAGGTCAGTGTTTCTCAGCCAGGGGGTCGGGACCCCTGGGGGGAGGGGGTGCGAGGGTGTCAGAGGGATCACCAAAGACTATCAGAAAACACAGTATTTTCTGTTGGTCATGGGAGTTCTGTGTGGGAAGTTTGCCCCAATTCTATCATTGGTGGGGTTCAGGATGCTCTTTGATTGTAGGTGAACTATAAATCCCAGCAACTACAACTCCCAAATGTCAAGGTCTATTTTCCCCAAACTCCACCAGTTTTCACATTTGGGCATATTGAGTATCCATATCAAGTTTGGTCCAGACCCATCATTGTTTGAGTCCACAGTGGTCTCTGGATGTAGGTGAACTACAACTCCAAAACTCAAGGTCAATGCCCACCAAACCCTTCCAGTATTTTCTGTTGGTCATGCGAGTTGTGTGTACCAAATCTGGCTCAATTTCATCGTTGGTGGAATTCAGAATGCTCTTTGATTGTAGGTGAACTATAAATCCCAGCAACTACAACTTGCTGGGATGAACAAGTGTCAAGGTCTGTTTTCCCCAAACTCCACCAGTGTTTGCATTTGGGCATATTGAGTATCCGTGCCAAGTTTGGTCCAGATCTATCATTGCTTGAGTTCACAGTGCTCTCTGGATGTAGGTGAACTACAACTCCAAAACTCGAGGTCAATGCCCACCAAATCTTTCCAGTATTTTCTATTGGTCATGGGAGTTCTTTGTGCCAACTTTGGTTCAATTCCATCATTGGTGGAGTTCAGAATGCTCTTTGATTGTAGGTGAACTATAAATCCCAGCAATTATAACTCCCAAATGACAAAATCAATCCCCCCCTCCAACCCTACCAGTATTCAGATGTGGGCGTTTTGGGTATTTGTGCCAAATTTAGTCCACTAAATGCTTATGTTACAATTCATAACAGTAGCAAAATTAGTTACGAAAATAATGTTATGGTTGGGGGTCACCACAACACGAGAAACTGTATTAAGGGGTTGCGGCATTAGGAACGTTGAGAAACACTGCGCTAGGCTAAAACTTTTATTTCAGTACCCAACGAACATCTTTCCAGGGAAACAAGGAGAAAATGGATAATGAGAAATAGAATGTCAGGCCTATGCTATTTTCCAGGACATATTTATTTATAGAGCTAATGGTGATCCAATAATAGCTGAAGTTTGATTAAAAACCTTGTTAATACTATTTGAGTTACTCATCAAGGAAAGTGTTCATTCAGATGCTGGCATGAGGCAGTCTTTGAACCCCATTTGAGTATTAAAAATCATTTTGAGTCCAGCTAAAAGCCTCTCAGTTCAGGATGCTTCTTTCATGTAATAATAAGACCATTAGAGGTTGGATGGAACTTCCAGGCTCACTTTTGTATCAAGCCATTATCCTGCACTTTATCACTCCGAACATCATAAGCATACTCCATTTCTGTACTCTAGGCCCTCCACTTTTCTGCAAAAGTAGAAAAACATCTAATTTTAAAAGCCCACTCTTCTTTTTCTTTTATCTGAGTGAACACCTCTCTAGGAATCTCTAGGTCAGGGACAGGCAAACTTTGGCCCTCCAGGTGTTTTGGACTTCAACTCCCACAATTCTTATCAGCCTAGGAATTGTGAAAGTTGAAGTCCAAAACACCTGGAGGGCTGAAGTTTGCACATGCCTGACCTAGGTCTTCCAGGACAGCTCTGCACTCAACTTCCAAAACCGTGCTGGAGAGTCTAGAACAGTGGTTCCCAACCTTTGAGCCTCCAGGTGTTTTGGACTTCAGCGCCCACCGTTCCTAACAGCTGGTAAGCTGGCAGGGATTTCTGGGAGTTGAAGTCCAAAACACCTAGAGGCCCAGAGGTTGGGAACCACTGGTCTAGAAATTCCTAGAAAAAGCATATTGATAAATTTCATGAATAATAAAATCTGCAAATGTCAAATCCACAAATCTATCTTTCTTCTCTAAACCTGATCAAGATTAGTCACTTTTACAATGTCCCATTAAATCGTGGTTAATGGGTCAGCCTCATCCCCATTTGATCATTTTTAATGCATCTCTTCCCCTTCAGGTGGAATCGCCAGTCATCTGCAAAATTTTGGATACATCAGACGAATATGGACTCCTTTCAGTGCCCAGTTAATAAATAGTACAAGGATTTCACTTGACGTTCCAAGACACTGAAAGCTGAAAGGTCGCTCCGGTTGAGCTTCTCCACATCAACCCACAGATGCTGAGCCAAGGAAAAACTCACCAGCAGATCCCTATATAAAAGCAACGAGCGATCACGGACTCCTTTGTGAATATTATATGTATATAAGAGGTTATTGATAAACTTTTAAAAAATAAAAAAATACCTTTAACTTTTGCACTTGCCCAGATCACGTAAGGCGGGCTCTCTCTTTTCTATGAATTGCAACATCTGTTTTGAGTTGCAGGACTCAGTTCTCTTAAGAAGATGAAAAGGAGGCAATCTTGAACTACTTTCAGTATGTTGGTAACAAAAGTAAAGGTCAATTTGTGTTTGTTTATGCCAGTGGTACCCAACCTGTGGTCTGTGGACCACCAGTGGTCCCCAAAGAACTAAAATATGGTTTGCAGCCTCACCGTTACTACACTGTTGCAACAAGAGCAACTGATCTCATAAAACACTCTTAAAGTGCCGAGGCAACAAGAATGACGGGAAGGAGAAGCTGACTATTCACAAAAGGTGCAACAACAAGCTTCCTGACTGCTGCTGCTTCTCTTCCTCCCTCCCCCTGAACAGAGCCATTCCATGTGGCACCTGAAGCAGGGGCACCTTGGTGTCTTTGTTTTTCAGCTTGTTCCTGGAGTTATTTGAGGTGCTGATTCAGAAAATTGCATTGGATAGACCACATCAGCTCTAGATTATTAAATATGGTTTTCTGTGGGCGAGCAGATGGCAACTACTGGATGACATATGTTCTGTATCAGAAACTAGAGCTGATGTGGTCTATCCAATGCAATTTTCTGAATCAGCACCCCAAATAACCAAACCAAATCTAAAGTTGACCAAACTGATTCGTAATCCTTTTGGTACTAATGTTGGAGAGTTGTCCCTAATCAAAGGGGTCCCTGATCAAGTGGTCCTTGATTTTTAAAAGGTTGGGAACCACTGGTTTATGCATACTCTGTTGTTGAAAGGCCTAGCCATCTAGCCTGAGTATACATAGGGTTCCTCTGAACTGGCTGAGATATATCACACACTTAGGTACCTCAAATGTTGGTCCTGCTTCTAGTTATATTTGACCTGCGGATTCCAAAAATGGCACGTTTTCCACTATCAGCTCTAGCTTTTAAGATACAGAATATATGTCCTCTACTGGTTGCCATCAGCTCACCCATAGAAAACCATGATAATCATATCTAACAAACTAGAAATGATGTCTACCCAATGCAATTTTCTGAACCAGTGCGCTTGATAACCCCAGGAACAGTCCTGAAAACAAAATGTTGTGTTATATATTTAGCATGTCATGATAAAACCTTCACTTGGCAAAGCAGCACTCGCTCTGGACCCTGCATTACAGTTATAAAGCAACAAAGATGTAGAGATGTATTGTCAAAGGCTTTCATGGCCGGAATCACTGGGTTGTAGGTTTTTTCGGGCTATATGGCCATGTTCTAGAGGCATTCTCTCCTGACGTTTCGCCTGCATCTATGGCAAGCATCCTCAGAGGTAGTGAGGTGAGGTGAGGTAGAGCTTGGGAAAAGTTACTTTTCCAGAGAACATCTCCCATAATTCTCTAGCTTTAATGATATTAGGGGGAGGGGGGCTGTCCACAAAAAAAAAGGAACTTTCCCCATCCAAACTTCCAGACAGGTGCAGTCAGTTGTTATTATATGCCCCCAAAAAACAAAAAAACACTGAAAAAAAACATCTCTGCACAATTCAGATGTGGTCCACCCTTTCCTGTCTTCCGGTCTGGCCTCAGGCTGTGCTTTCCTCTTTGGAGTTCACTTTTTCCTCAGAAACCATGCGTCAGATGAACGTGTGTATTATTTAGCATGAATTCAGTGGTAATAATGGAATATTGTTTAATAGCTGTGTTGCACGCACTGGGGTATGATTGACTTAAATCACTTCTGCTTTCTTAACCAGCAATGTCCTCCTTTCTGCAAACAATTGTGCAACCGGTCATGGTACCTAAAAAGACTTATCCCCCACTTCCTTGTCAGTGAGGCATCTCTCCAAGATATAATAAGGACTCTGAGTCACTCGTTTTGAAATAATACGCAAAATTCTTGGGGCGGGGGGGAGTAGAAAAAATTGTGGAAAGAGCTTTGTTGGGAAATTCCATGGCTGAAAAAGTCTTCCAAGGATTAGAGGAAAGGGCAGGGAGGGGGCTTGTGCTAACTCTTTTGGGATCCAAATGTTTCCCATCTTTCCTTCACTTTCTGCCTCCTAAAGAGAAGAGGAAAGCACAGGGAAGGGCCCACCATGTGGCCCCTAAGTTAGAAAGTTTGCCCATGCCTGTACTAAAGGAATGCAAGCAAGCAAAGGCAAGAACGATGCATTTCCGATCTCCCAGTCCCATTATCATTTTATTTTTTTTAAAGCCACGGGGAAATGTCTGCTGTGCAATCAGCCACAGGTGCTTTACCTGAAAACTCAAGTGCTTACCTGCTCCCTTCTTCCTAAACTGGCACTTCCCTGTGCCATCATCTGGAAGAATGCTTCCTCGCATATGATAATGAACGGTGGGGATTCCCAGAGGCCATGATGCAGTTGAGTGGGAGGGAAGCCAAACAATTTAAGAAGTATCTGTCCAAGCTGTGGTGCCGTCGCATCCACACCACAACCGTGCGTGGCATACCCTGGCTCGAAACTCCTTCTTCACAGCCTAGTGGCTTTCAAATGTAAGTACACTGCTTATTTAAAAGCTGCAAATGAGAAAGTCAAAGATGGGAGGGAAAGATTTGTGTGGAAAAAAGGATGACGAATGAATAGCAGCTGGAATACAATGCTGCTTTCTATGTAGTCAAATATGTTGCACTTCTTTTGATCTTTTTCTAGCAATAGTTTTCTGCTTCTAGTACCTTTCGGCATTTTGCAAATTTGTCCCACCTACACCAAGCAGCTTTCTGTTCCTTTTGGACAGCCTGGCTAGTTTTTGGATTGTCATGGAAGAACAATTCCACAAAGTGATGGTGGGGAAACCTGTTTAGCCACTTGGATGGTAGTTTCTGATCTATATATCAATCTGTGCCGATCTGTTTATTTATCTACAGTAGAGTTTTGCTCATCCAACATAAACGGGCTGGCGGAACGCTGGATAAGCGAAAATGTTGGATAATAAGGAGGGATTAAGGAAAAGCCTGTTAAATGGCAAATTGATTATTTATTTATTTACTACATTTATATACCACCCCTCTCATCCCAAGGGCGACTCAGAGCGGTTAACAATAGGCAACAATTCGATGCCAGAGCAGTTACAACAAAATAAAACAATCATAGAATCATAGAATCAAAGAGTTGGAAGACCTCTCATTAATACTTTAAAATACTAACTGCACTATAAAAACATAAAAAACAAATTACGTTATGATTTCACAAATTAAGCAACAAAACATCTCAATGTATTGTTGAAGGCTTTCATGGCCGGAATCACTGGGTTGTTGTAGGTTTTTTCGGGCTATATGGCCATGGTCTAGAGGCATTTTTTCCTGACATTTCGCCTGCATCTATGGCAAGCATCCTCAGAGGTAGTGAGGTTGACTACCTCACTACCTCTGAGGATGCTTGCCATAGATACAGGCGAAACGTCAGGAGAAAATGCCTCCAGACCATTGCCATATAGCCCGAAAAAACCTACAACAATCCAAAACATCTCAATGTATTGAAATAGCAGTGGATCCAAGCGGGAGGCAGACTGTGTTGGATAATACAGAACGCTGGATGAGTGAAGGTTGGATAAGCGAGACTCCACTGTATTTTAAATCCTTATATTTTGCACCATATGTGAGATCTCTGTTATTCTTTTAGCTCACAAGAGAATAACCTTAAAGCAATCAGTGACAACAGTAATTCTAAAAGAAGAAGAAAAAGAAGAAATTACATGTATATATATCCACAACACTTTATTTTGTCTCCCATATTGTTACCCACTTAGTGGGCAACTGTAATAATAATAATAATAATAATAATAATAATAATAATAATAATAATGTATTGTCGAAGGCTTTCATGGCCGGAATGTTGTAGGTTTTTTTGGGCTATATGGCCATGTTCTAGAGGCATTCTCTCCTGACGTTTCGCCTGCATCCATGGCAAGTATCCTCAGAGGTAGTGAGGTCTGTTGGAACTAGGAAAATGGGTTTATATATCTGTGGAAAGACCAGGGTGGGACAAAGGACTCTTGTCTGCTGGAGCTAGGTGTGAATATTTCAACTGACCACCTTGGAAGTGCCTGGAGCAATCTTTTGTTGAGAGGTGATTAGATGTCCCTGATTGTTTTCCCTCTGCTGTTTTGCTGTTTTAATTTTAGAGTTTTTTTAATACTGGTAGCCAGATCAAATGATAATCAAGGTGGTCAGCTGAAACAGTCCTCCCCTTGGCTATGTGGCCAGCTGATCACAGCAGAGGAGGACTTTTGGTGGGAGGATTCGCCGTCTGTTTCCAAAAAGGAAGAGAAGGACAGGCAGAGAGATCTTCAGCCTTCTCTGCCAAGAACCCCCTAAGACCATCAGAAACATATGTTTTCTGATGGTCTTTGGTGACCCCTCTGACACCCCCTTGTGACCCCCCAGGGGTCCCGACCCCCAGGTTGAGAAACACTGTTGTAGTTCAATATAACCACAAAGACATTTTTCTTAGGTCCAGTTTACACGTGGTTACAAGGTGGTTAAAGAAGTGTTCCTTTGTTTTTTTCCTTTGTTCCAGGATGGGAACTTTCATCCACAGTCTGTACTTCTACCTCATCATTCTCTCCTGTGATGGAGAAGATGAATTTCAAAATTCAGAGTCTCAGATCTACGTTTCCAAATCCTCTGGTCATCACATGCTAAACCATTCTTCAGTAGCTAAACAACAAATGCTCCAACAAAGTTTGGGTTCCGTGCAAATAATGGAAGTGATGGATTCATCAAGAGATGAACCATTACTGAATCCAACAATGTCTCTTGAACCAAGAAAGCACAATTTACATGAGGAACCAATGCTGAGGTTGAAAGCTGTGGATCACAGAAAACACGATGACGCATCTTCACCTTCAGTGGCAATGAAGGCAGAGGGATGTGGCATCTCAGTGAATGGCATTTTAGACCTATCAAACAGAAACTTGTCTGAGAAGGAATTGAGAGCGAAAATGGAATCTGGGCCTTACCGGGCTACACTGGACAAAATCCAGGAACTTAATGCTAGCCACAATGGCCTGAAAACCGATCTCATCACCCTAATTTTACTGTTCCTCAATATGAGGAATGTGCGTGCTATTGATTTGAGTTGTAATAGTTTAACATTCAATGGTGTGTGTTCAGAAGAGATCCAGAATCTGGAAGAAAGCAAGCTGATATTTTTAAACCTCAGCCACAATCCTTTGAAAACTTTAAGTAACCTGTGTCTCCCTCAAAGCCTCAAAGGGATTGATTTATCTTTCACCCAAATTGACAGGATACCACAAGAGTTTGCCATACTTTTTACAAACATGGAACAGATTTATCTCCAAGGAAACCAGTTTATATACACTCCAAAAACACTTAAATTTGCATTAACTGGTGGTGTGCACACCTCATCTGTTTCATTTGTTGATTTTCCAAAACACAGTCCCATTGAAAGCCTCCCCTACAAAGTCACGCATCTAGTATTGTCGAACTGTTCCATCGTGGAACTTCCAGAATGGTTTATGAAGAAAATGGGCCAACTTTTATTCCTGGACCTCAGCAATAATCCCATGAATTCATTCCCAGGTCTGCCAACGACTTTGCAACGCCTGGAATTAAGCAATAGTAACATCAAAGCTATGGCAAACCTTAAAACCATTTCCAATTTGACAGTAGTCAACATTCCAAACAACAAAATAGAAGATATTTCCCCAAAGCATCTTCCCTACCCAGTAGAAGAATTGGATATTAGTAAAAATAAAATACTTCGGATGCCTTTCCTTGGTGCGCACCCAAAATTAAGAACTTTGAACATTTCTGGAAATGCCATAATGCAGCTGAATGTCAACACATCTCACCCTTCACTCAACAACTTAGATGCAAGCCATAATTTAATCACAGAGTTACATGACGAGACAGGGACATTTCTGCCAGAATTGAAATTTCTGAATTTGTCAGGAAACAAGATCTCCTTCTTGCAGCCAGGCTCGCTGCCTGAATCTTTGCTTGAGTTGGACATAAGCAACAACGCCATTACTATCATCCTGGAGGAGACTTTTGGCCGTTTGAGAAACCTGAGGGTTTTGACAGCTCAAGGGAAGCATTTTTTCTGTAACTGTGACTTGTATTGGTTTGCCAACACATACCTTGCTAGCCCACATGTACAGATACATGGACAAGAGGCCCTGAAGTGCGGTTTCCCTCTCCAAAAGCGGGGTCTTTTGGTTGAAAACAGCAACCTGACAATTCTCTACTGTTCTCTTGGCCTTCAAATGGGGATTACTGCAATTGTGGCAGCTTTGTTTATGACTGTTATCACTGTCCTCTGTTGGCGTTTCCATGGGCCCTGGTACATTAAGATGGGCTGGTACTGGTGCATGGCTAAGAGGAAACAGTACCAGAAAGGATATGAAGACAAATTGTATGACACCTTTGTTTCGTACAGTGAAAATGATGCACCCTGGACAAAAGAGATCCTACTGAAAAACCTGGAAGCCAATAATTATAGAGTATGTTACCATGAGAGGGACTTCCTTCCAGGCCACCCGGTCCTTGGGAACATTTTCCATTGCATTGAGAACAGCCATAAAGTCCTTTTTGTGTTGTCGCCTAGCTTTGTCAACAGTTGCTGGTGCCAGTATGAACTCTACTTTGCTGAACATCGGGTCCTGAATGAAAACCAAGATTCTCTCATTATGATAGTGCTGGAGGACCTCCCTCCCAACAGCATTCCTCAGAAATTCAGTAAGCTTCGAAAGCTATTGAAAAGGAAAACCTATTTGAAGTGGAGCTCGGAGGAACACAAACAAAAACTCTTCTGGTGCCAGTTGAACAATGTCCTGAAAACAACCAATGAGCCCATGGTGCTGAATGAAACAATCGAGCTGCATTAAATCATGGATGACATGCAGTTGAAATTGTGACTCTATTCATAAGGTGTCTCTTGCTTCTTGTTCTTTGTTTTTCATGGTCTGTTTTGGGTTTCTTCTAAATATAGTTAAACATTCTCAAGAGCACTGCTTCTTAAAATGTGAACCCTGACCCCAAATGGGGTCCCTTAGCTTAGTATTGGAGTCCTGAAAACATTGACAACATTACATTTCTCTGTCCATCACTTAGTGTCTGTTTTTGATATTTACATAAATCTGTTGTGCAATGTTTACTGTGAACTCCGTAGAAGATGCTTTGTATAAGGAAAATCAGCTTGTTTATCAAGGTTTGTTATCAGTAAATGTTTGATTTTTATACCTATTTATATGTATATATCCGGGGTCATGTAAAAGTTCGGTTCCAAGTGGAATGAATCAGAGCTTGAGAAAGTACATACTTTTGACTATTGTTCTTACTTTGCCAGCTGAGGAATTTGGGGAAGTGCAGCATAAAAATGAGTCATCGTGATGTAGTGATTTGAGTCTAGGAATCAAGAGTGCCGTTCAAATCCTCACTCAGCCATGGAAACCCTTTCGGTGACCTTGAATAAGCCACACTTTCTTTGCCTCAGAAGAAAGTAATCACAAATCTCTTCTGAACTAACCTTGCCAAGGAAAGCTCAAGTTGGAAATGACTTAAGAATCAGACTTAAGAGGAACTTCTCCAAGTTCTGTGCTGAATCATTCAGAAGTATCATGTTGCAATTATACATTTATACACTGCTTTACTGGGCTTTTTGACCAATTCCACTGTGGGCAGTTTATATACTGATTTGCTCATATCACTGCTATTAGATAACTCTAATACAGTTCTTTGCTTCAGTTGTTTCTTAGTAAAGGTAAAGTTTTTTCCTTGACATTAAGTCTAGTCGTGTCCGTCTCTGGGGGGTGGTGCTCATCTCCATTTCTAAGCCAGAGCCGACGTTGTCCATAGATGCCTCCAAGGTCATGTGATCATGACTGCATGGAGCACCATTACCTTCCTGCAGAAGCTCTACCTATTGATCTACTTGCATTTGCATGTTTTCAAACTGCTAGGTTGACATAAGCTGGGGCTAACAGCGGGAGCTCACCCCACTCCCCAGATTCAAACTGCCAACCTTTTGGTCAGCAAGTTCAGCAGCTCAGCAGTTTAACCCACTGTGCCACCAGGAGGCCCATATCCTTGTTTCTTACCTGATGTTTTTGTATGTGTGTGAATTTTGGGCTACTCTAAATCGAACGAATAGTGAATTGTTTGATGTGCTAACAAGTTCTTTCAATATTTATTTAGTAATTAAACTATTTTGCTAATTTATATATGAAGTACTTTCTTTTTTAAAAGAATTGTGGTTGCTACTGTTTAACAGAAAGGTATGTGTTCACATCAGAAAAAAGAGGAAACATTGCCCATGTTTTGGTTGAGTGATAGTATTTCCCTGATAATTAAAAGACATAAACCATGAACCAGAGATCTATGGCCATTACACTTCAATTGTGTCCAAGATCTAGACTAAATATGGGAATCGTGTCTTTTTCCAGATATTGTTGGACTGATATTCCCAACATGTCCAATTAGCATAGGCAAGAGTAGGAATGTTGGGAGTCCAACAATATCAAGAAGGCCACAGACTTTTGTTGAACATAGAACCGGTTTGAAGAACCAATGGTATGAAATGATAGGAGCCGGAGAGCCTCACACCTAGACTAAAGATTAGTCCCAATCCTGGAAGAAACTTGGATATAAATAATAAGAACCATTACCAGAACAATTATTACCAGTCTTGGGGAAAACACAAGAGAGCTGAAAAAATGGGCTAGAATTCAGTTGGAGAGTTATGAATATAGTTAATAACTTGTGACTTTCATATTCATAATCTCAATGTAGGCCCAAGTTTAGGAGTTAAAGAGGGAATGTGAATGCGCCCCAATATCTACGCAGCAGTCACTGTGATCAACAAGTGTTATCGAGAAATTGGAAACCACCACCACATATAAGTATAAATTATATACAACATATCAACTAGACAACTCTATAGGTGCATTTGAAAGACTGCGGGTACACCTCGCCTTTGCCCTTCAACAATTTCAGTGTGTGTAGACTCAAGAATGTTTGACATCCTAGCCCAGTGGTTCTCAACCTGGGGTCCCCAGATGTTTTTGGCCTTCAACTCCCAGAAATCCTAACAGCTGGTAAACTGGCTGGAATTTCTGGGAGTTGTAGGCCAGAAACATTTGGGGACCCCAGGTTGAGAACCACTTAACCAGACTCCAGGAAACAATCCTTTAAATCTCCATAATCCCTTCACAATTAATTGGGAGACATGAGGGAAGCACATAATGAATTTGCATCAGACCTCCTAGGTCCCTTTTCCTGCTTTCCTTGATATGATTTTGACTATTGGGGAGGGGGGAGTATATCTCCCAAACTTTAAGCCAATTGTGTACTCTGGACTAACCCTTTTGTGCCCACAGAAGCCAAATCATTACACCCATCACGGGCTCATAAAAGATTGCCACACTGTATTTCTTTCTGGTTGTGCCTCTTTCAGAGGCAGATTAATAAACTGGCTGACACTTCAAATGCTCCGATGACAGTTTATTAAATTTTAGGTCACCATGAAGAGCCAACCAGCAATGATGTCGAACAAAGCCCTGATCAGATCCTACAGTTTTTTAGCCAATCAGAGATTGGGGGGGGGGGGGGGGGGGGGGGGGGGGGGGGGGACTGGTCTTGAATAGTTGTCAAAATGAATAAAATCCTCTGTATTTGTTATTATGCCATTTTAGTTCTTTGGAGTGCTTTCTCCACTGACATCCTCTCTGGCCATTGAGAATAAACCTCTGAGTTTGCCTTTAAACCTGTCTGTGTCCCATTTGGCCTTCTGGAAAGCTGAGCACACCGGGCCTCCAAACCCACAGTTTTTGTGGTAGCAGATATCACTTCACACATTGATCTATTCTCCTGTCAATCAGGAAGCAATTGGCTAGCAAATTCCTCCCCACATGCAAGTGAACTCTAGTGTGTGCGAGAATATATTCTGAGACCATGAAGAAACTTTGCATAGCCATCCAAAACAAATGTCATGGGATGTTGACAGCGGGAGTCTGTCTCCTTCATGATAATGCGTGACTGCACATCATTAATACAACAGAAGAGCTGTTGACTTCATTTGGTTGGGATGTTTTAAGCTAACCCTCTCACAGCCCCGATCTCACCCCCAGTGAATATCACCTGTTCACTAAATTGAGGGAACACCTTGGTGGAAAACACTTTTGACAATGATGAGATGAAAATCAAAATGATGAACCGGCTGAAAACGGCGGAGGGAAACTTCTATGACACAGGCCTCAAAAAACACACCCCACAGATGACAAAATGTATTGAACTGAATGGGGGTTGTGTGGAAAAATAATATAATACCTATGCTATAATCCATGTAAGTTTTACTAAAATATATTCATTCTTTGTATTTTAAAACAATCTTGTAACCTTACTTTCCGGATAACTCTCATATATTGTTTAGTCATACATAAATCCCTAACAGGATTCTGGCCATGTTCTCAAAATCCTTCCAAATCAGCTCAGTTATCTGCCTGTATTACTTTGTTCTTGGTCTTTGTTGAAGGCCTTTCTTCTTAGACAACAGTTTTCTGAAATGCAAATTCCGGCCACACTTCCATTCTCAGTGTTTTTCTTTTCTCATCCATAATACTTCCTTTTCTGCACTGCTCATCACCAGCAATATACAACCAGCAGAATTGAGCTACGCCATAGAATTTACTTTATTGTGCTAATTGAATGAATGCATGTGAAACACTTCATATGGTTTTAGTTAGATTTGTAGTATGGTGAGTCACCTGCACTTTTCGGCAAAGAAGGCTAGAGATCTTTACAAATTACGGTTCCCATGGTTCCATTGCACTGAGTCATGGAAATTAAAGTGGTATCAAGCTGCATGAATTCTACAGTGTAGATTCTCCCTTTATTAATGAAGCCAATGTGTTCCTGGTCATTACTTCCTTACCCGAACATTTGGAACTAGAGGAATTACACTTGATCTTAGCCAAAAGGCCGAGAAGCTTCGCGGAACTAGAGGAATTAAAACACGGAAAGAACACGGATAGATCCCTGCATTACCAAAAGGAAAAGCAACCATGACTGAGCACTATTCAAAACCAACCATATACACATGGGAAATGAAACCAGATCAGATGAGCCTGACATGAGTAAACAGACATTTGAAATCTGCTAGGAACCATTCTGCTAATGTTGCTTTAAAAAAGAAGGCTAGATAGAGGATTGAAACGAAAAGGAGGAACTAGGTAGGTGTAAAAGGGCAAATCTTTGTCAGATGTGTTATGAAACAAGTCATGTCAGAACAGTGGCTTAAATTATCCTGTTAAACGTGACTAGAGTAGACCCGTTAAATCAATGGATTTACCCATGCGTTGGCTTATCATATAACCACTGATTGTATGAGTCTACTCTTTGTTGTTGTTCATTCGTTCAGCCGCTTCTGACTCTTCGTGACCTCATGGACCAGCCAACACCAGAGCTCCCTGTCGGCCGTCACCACCCCCAGCCCTTTCAGAGTCAAGCCAGTAACTTGAAGGATGCCATCCATCCATCTTGCCCTTGGTCGGCCCCTCTTTCTTTTGCCTTCCACTTTCCCCAGCATAGTTGTCTTCTCTAGGCTTTGCTGTCTCCTCATGATGTGGCCAAAGTACTTCAACTTTGTCTCTAATATTCTTCCCTCCAATGAGCAGTCGGGCTTTATTTCCTGGAGGATGGACTGGTTGGATCTTCTGGTGGTCCAAGGCACTCTCAGAACTTTCCTCCAACACCACAGTTCAAAAGCATCTATCTTCCTTCGCTCAGCCTTCCTTATGGCCCACCTCTCACATCCGTAGGTTACTACAGGGAATACCATGGCTTTAACTATGCAGATCTTCATTGGCAGTATGATGTCTCTACTCTTCACTATTTTATTGAGATTGTTCATTGCTCTCCTCCCAAGAAGTAAGCGTCTTCTGGTTTCCTGGCTGCAGTCTGCATCTGCTGTAATCTTTGCAC